GCAGACAATTGATTTTGAGGTGGGAATCGTGGAACGAGGGCGAAAATATTTTGAAAGGATGATATTTTCTTTGACTTATTAGATACTTGCCTTATGTAGAGGCTGTTTCATTGCATCCTCAGCTATATGGCTCTCATTTGATATCGTCAAAATGTGCCTAAACGAAATAACAATATCAGGGAAATAACGGAATCAGCGTCATTTAATTATCTCTCAACTTTACACTTACTTATATTTGCATTAGTGCAAGGTTAGGACAATATCGGTCCACTCCTTCCTGTACCTTTGCCATAAAATACAACATTTTGCATATCTAAAACGCTCACAAAATGCGAAATAAGCATCCGATCCGATTGGCGCATCAAATATTTCTACATACACAAGATCTGGTGTGAAAATGGGTTATAGACTTCTCCTTCTTATACCTTCTCCACAAAGATTCAACATTTGGAATAATTAAAACCTTCATAAAATGCGAATAGAGTTAGAAATTTTCTTGAAATATATATACATATACATTATTCCAGTGACAGCTCATTACATTGTTTACAAGCGTACAAAAGCATTTTGGTGAGATTTTTTTAAAATGTGAAAACATCTTTTGTGTCTCGTACCATCGCTCGTTACCGTGATACTGGGAGCGTAGCCCGACGTCAAGGAAGTGGACGGCAGAAAACAGCAACATCAACAGGAAAAGTAAAGAAGAGACTTGATCGAAGCACGCGTCGCAAAGGCCAAAAAATGGCTCGTGAGCTGAACATATCGCAATATTCCATTCGGCAAATATTGAAAAATGAGCTCGGGGTAAACCATTGAAATTCCAAAAAGTTCAAGTGCAAAATGGCAACAGAAATAAAATAGATTCAAAAGAGCTAAAGAGTTGCTTCGCTTGGCCGTGGTGTTACTGCCGAATTTGGTGTTACTGCAGTTTGTAAACAAACAAAATGATCGTGTTTACTTGCCAAAGAGGTAGGCTGAAAATGTGCACCTTCTGTTGACCACCAGAACTCAAGCGCCGGCCATTGTGATATTGTGAGCCGCCATAACAGCCGATGGTCGCTCTCCGCTCGTATTAATCGACCGTGGCATCAGAATAAATGCCGAATATTTTTACGAAAATATTCTAGAGGGTGTATTAAAGCCTTGGGCACGGAAACATTTTGGTCGCAGACCTTGGACATTTCAACAGGACTTATCACCATCTCACTCAACACGCGTCACCCAAGAATGTTTACAAAATTAGGTTCCTCGCTTCATTTCCAGCGCACAATGGCCACCAAAATATCCACATACCAATCCGTTGGACTATTGTGTCTGGAGTATTTTGAAAAGCAAGGTTGGCACTAAAAAATACCAAAGTGTCTATCACCTCGAGCAAGCGGGAATGGGTCAAAATACAGCAGAGCAACATTCGGGCAGCGTGTGACGGTTTCATTGTCCGTTTGAAGGCCATAATTCGTGCCAAATGTGGCCAATCTGAAATTATTCTAAAATTCGATGCTATTTCCGACATTTTTTGCTTTCATTCAATAATTTTTTTAATATGTAAAAATTATGGCGTTTGACTTTGTTGTAGTATTTTTATCTCATCCTGTGGTACCTCCCCCACAAACCGTCAAAATATTGATTGAATATGACTCTTATAAAATGCTAAAAAATAAATCGATTCTTTAAACTTCATACAATACTAAACTTCCAGCAAAGTTAGATCTAGTATGAATATCGGACTTATCCGGTACCTTCCCCACAAAGGGTCAAATTGGCATATGTACGTCCAGTCTTTATGTTTCGTCACAAAAAGGTATACACCTAAGTCTGTTTTTACACGGTCTTTTTGTACACGGTTTTGATATAACACGGTTTGAAAATTGAATATTTTTAATTTATTTACACGATTTTATTCCATTTTTGCACGATTTGAAATTTTATGTACTTAATTTTTTTTGTCAAATTTAATTTTTGCGAAGTATGTTCATATCACAAAAAAGTATTTATGAAAGAAAAAAGTCTGAAACCATCGATAGTATCGATAATTTGCGAACACTAGCTTAAAGATTTAAGTGAATTCCCCTTTAGCGCGTACAAACAATTTTTACTGGTCAAAGCAAATGTGAATAGCACTATGTGCATACAATAAAATTTACTGGTCAGAGCAATTGAAACGTGTTAATATTTTGTGAACTGTTAATGCAATAAGACGTGTTTGGTAAAGAAAAAAATAAAAATTCTTGTTTTTCACTAATTTTAATAGGTTTTAGAGATTAGGAACAAATCACCCATTTTTGTATAAGATCAATGTCTTTTTTACACGGTTTTTTTTTTACACGGCTTCTTCTGGAACCAATCTACCGTGTAAAAACAGACTTAGGTGTACATACATAAATGGTCAAACTCTGTAAAACCTGTCTGTCGACACATACTTTTTATTTATTTTTTTTAATTTTCTTTTAAAGAAAAACTAACCTTCAAGCACCGAAATGGATATTAATTCAAATCAAATACGATCGATCAATGCCCAGCTTTTAATTTCCCTACCATCCTCGTTAATGTCATTGTATTATATACAGTTAATGATTGTGGCTGGTATTTTTCTCGCTCGCCTGCCCGCCTGCTACTTACCTGTAATTTTGAGTTTCGAGCGCCAGTTAACAATGTGCTAAAAGATGATGTCGTCATTGTCATCGTCTGTTATTGTTGTAGGCGACGACGAATACATTTTTGTGTCATTGCACGTTTAACTCATTTTAAACGCGATATTTTGTTGTTGCTGTTGTCTTTGTTGTTTACCTTAATTGTTCGGAGTTCAAAACAAACAAAAAAACACAACGACATGCACTCACTGACAATGGATGAAAAGTGGCCGAGAAAAATTATTTTGCAATAAATCTTGATGTTATTTTTTCCAATAATAAAAATGTTTCCTTGCCGTGGGAGAGAGAGAGAGATAAGGGGGCAGTGATTGTAATGCACGTCTAGTTGACATTGGTTGGCTTTTTAAGTATTAATTAATTTTTCATTTTTTCATGCATACGTATATACCAAATGTGCATAGTATGTATGTGAATTATGCATTAATTAAATTTTTTTCCGAAACATCGTTTAGTTTTTCATTCATAGACTTCCGTATTGACTTTACTAAATATTTGACACGTGCCTGCACGCAAGCGAATAATTGAGATTGTGTTATTTTGAAAGTTAATTAAAATTATTATGGAATTTCATTCAGAGACCGGACAACTATATTTAATTATTCAATTATTTCAACAATCTGTATGAAAATATTTCAGAATTATCAACAATGTCATTGCTAAAAAGGGTGATACTTTATTAAGTTTTCGGTCTGTGGTAATGGCCTTGGCCCGCTTTCGAAATTAATCTTTCCCAAAGAAACGAGGAATTTACTGTAGCTCGGGTTATGAATGCGAAGCTGTCCACAGGAAAAATCCAGCAGATTATGAAAGTCGAGCTAAACAGAGACACGTTTTGAAAGTTTACATCGGAAGTAACTCAACACTTTTTGAAATTTTCGGATAAAGATTCCTTGGAATCCGTTCTTCTGCAGTACTTAGATAACCATACGAAAAAAGTGGTCTTTTTGTAGCTTTTTTCGTGATGGTATGGACCTATCGCTCCTAGATTTTGCACAGTGGGCTGTTCTGATAAAAGTTAGGAAAAACTGGAAATTCACTTTTTTCAAAATTTCCGAAATGAAATGTTCCAACTTTCGACGTTTCTGAAAGTACTCCTGGCCAGCTTTCCAGTGGTACCTTCCATATGGACCTATCCCTCCTAGATTTTGCACAGTGGGCTGTTCTGATAAAAGTTAGGAAAAAATGAAATTCACTTTTTTCAAAATGTCCGAAATGAAATGTTCCAACTTTCGACGTTTCTGAAAGTACTCCTCGCCAGCTTTCCAATGGTACCTTCCATATGGACCTATCCTTCCTAGATTTTGCACAGTGGGCTGTTCTGATAAAAGTTAGGAAAAAATTGAAATTCACTTTTTTCAAAATTTCCGAAATGAAATGTTCCAACTTTCGACGTTTCTGAAAGTACTCCTCGACAGCTTTCCAATGGTACCTTCCATATGGACCTATCCCTCCTAGATTTTGCACAGTCGAATTCCAGCTAACTCATAAAATTTATAGTTTAATCTACTTAAAATAGTTATATGTGTTCCATGGAGTAGACAGTATAGGCTGTTCAAGAACATTAACTTTGCAGAGATATTTCTTTAATATATTAATTTTTTTTTTAAATTTTTCAGTATATAGTTATCCAGTATTTAAATTCGTTTTTAACTTCACACATATCTGTTATACTGAGAATTATAACTGTTATACAGTACTTGAGTCTTCGCTAGTTAAATTCGTTGTTATCTTCACGCACATAATTTTCTACAAATTTATTTGTCACAAAATTCTACTATACTCCTAATCTAACACGTATCCAGTTTAAGTAAAATTAGTTAATTTTTTGGGGAAGTTTTCAAAGGAAATAATGTTCTACGTCAAATTCCAATGTGAGTTTCTGAACAAAAGAAATTGTTTACCTAATATATATCATAAATAATATCCTCAATTTGGGCCTATACAATTTTTTTTTGATTTTCAGCAAATTTAACACATTTTTCGAACTCGCTGCAAGTTTTCACATAATTTCACTATTCAAAGCCAATAGGCCTGTTCCAAGTTGATTTGATAGTACTCAGTTTAAAGATTTGACCTTTTCAAAGGATTACAAAAGGAGCCCAATATTTAAGATGTATTCCCTAACATTTATAGCAAACCCCAAATTCAAATATTCAAACGTCAACGCGACACGGCTAATTGGCATTGAATTTTACGCTGAGCCAAGCGAAGATGATCTTTACGACCGAGGAATTTTAATTGGTGTAAAATAAACAAATATCATATAGGTCTTAATTTCAATTGTTTAATATTAAACTCATTATATGAAGGTTATTTCGATATTTTTCAATCTTCTCTATCTCTTTTCAGGAAGAAGACATTACGAAAAAATGTGAATTCCTATTTAAACAAGACTATTCCCTGATCGAACTTGAAAATACAAATGGAATCCTCAGTCCACGTTATCCGGGTCGGATTTTTATACCAGAATATGAGCACAATAGACCCAACAACATGGCATCTACGATCACCGCCAACAATACGAATATTTTCTCACAAAATGCGACGCCACAGAATAGCAGCATAAATGGATTCCACCATCAACATCATCTCCATTATGCGAATAACTCAACAACAGCTAATACCACCAGCAGTAATGGTTCTATGTCGTCGTTGTCGTCTTCAACGGCGACAGCACTCAATATGGGAACAGCCAATAATGGTATACATGCCTTTGTGACATTTGCCAACGGGTCCATGTCACAAACAACAACTAACGGAGTCCCCAACAACTTACCAACAGCAGCACCAGCACCGCCGCATCCGTATTTTTCCACACAAATGCAATATCCTCAACATTTAATGCCACAAACAACACCAAATACCAGCGTGGGGTTAAATGGTGGTGGCGGCGGTGGCAATGGCACCACATCCACCTCAACATCATATCAGCATACCATCTACGAAGACTTGTATGACGTCAATAAGATACGTGAACTCATTACCATGGCCAAATATGCACGGTGTCGTCAACGGTTTGCTGTTCCTGTGATTATGTATCGCGGCAAGTATATTTGTCGATCGGCCACCATATCCGTAATGCCCGAAACATATGGACGCAAGGTGGTCGACTATGCCTACGACTGTTTGAACGGCACAAACTACAGCGATCGGGGGAATCATATTGTCGACGATGAGAACAACGACAACAATGAAGACTCTTTGATGAATCATGCCTTGAATGAATCTTCGCCTTTTTCATACGATGAAGTGATTAAGAGTGACATACAATTGTTGAATGCACTGAATGTGTCGGCAATTGTCGATTTGATGGTGGAAAAAAGGAAAATCAAGTATTTTATGGCGTAAGTGTTAATTTTGCGTATGATTGTTATATATTATTACAAAAGTAAGTAGCACCTTTTTGCCATGGGTCAATGTTCATGTAAATATGCGAGATAATCAGGAATTAAAAAAATGGAAATAGTTAATGGCTCTTTAATTGTTTGGCTTAATTCTAGTATATCTATAACTCTCGGATCGATCTAACAACTAGTTGCCAACTGCCATAGCTAATCGGCGCTTTAACAGTCACTTCAATTGAGAAATCCATTTTAATACTTTAATATTGCTATAACCAGCAACTCAGTAAAGCTTAATCGGGTCAAGTACCTGAAATAGAGCCGTCCTGTGGTCTTGAAATTATTTCATGTTTACAGTAATTGACTAGTGAGTGTTTGATTCTCGATGTACTCGTATATAATCACCGGTTCCAAAAATCTAGTAAACTTTATGCATTATTATTGGTAGCCAGGAGCCAACCTATCCTGCACCAGTCCCTTTCTCCATCTTGGAACGCTTTGTATATATTGCCAGTTCAGTTCAGTTCAGTTCAGTTTTTCCTGTTAGATACTACAAATCGACCTACTGAAATATACTCCTTAGAAATCATTAAATGAGTAGGAAGGCTGTTCTCTTCAACATATTGGAACAGTCTGTAAATATGGTCATCTGATTTGATCAGGATTTTAACCACCATCTGTCCAGTTATGCATATTTAGCATATTTTTGTTAATGCTTTAACCAAACGATCCAGAAGTTGGAACCTTAGAATCCCGTTCTAAGGCGATAGAAAAGTACGATTTCAAAAAGGTGTCCCCTTCTTCAAGGGTGTTTTCTTTTTCAATTTAATAGTTTTCGAATTGACGGCGATAATTATCTTCTGCTTCCCCTGCTACCTAGCATTACATGCATCCATTCAATAAGGATGGGGAAGTTCCTAAATTTTAAAAAGTCCTTAGTGGGGTTGCTCTGCCATACAATTTTAATGAAGTGCCCATTTTTTTCTTAGTTGACATGCAATGCTTTTGGAGGTATGCTAATTGAATATTAAGAAGGAATATTTACTATAGGAAAATATATTGACACAATTTCATTTAAATATATATAAACCACTCAGAGGGAGTACATCGGTCCACGTTTTGGGATAGCCTCCCATATAACGGTACCTCCCGAAATTCGGAATTATATTAGTTTTAGCCATATTACCACAAATTTTTCTAAAAATTGGTAGTGGCGGAACATTGTACTTATAAATCCACGTTTTCGTATAACCTAGATGTAACGGTACCTGCTGACCTTCGGTATTTTTGATAGTTTTAGCTACATTTTTCCCACGGATTTGTCTAAAAATCGTTATTTGTAGTTCGTTATGGGTTCTAGCTCCGGTGGCGGAACATTGTATACATAGACCCACGTTTTCGTATAACCCCTATATAAGGGTACCTTCCAATATTCGGTATTTTGATAATTTTTGCCACATTTTTCAACGAATTTGTTGTCATCATGGGTTCTATCTCCGATGGAGGAACATTGTACATACAGGTGCACTTTCTCGTATAGCCCCCGTGTAACGGTACCTCCCGTTATTCGGTATTTTGATGGTTTTAACCACATTTTTCTACAAATTTGACAAAAAATTGGTATTTGTAGCTCGTAATGAGTGGCAGGACATTGAATATCTAGGTCCACGTTTTCCTATAGCGCACATATAACGGTTCAATCGCATACTCGGCATTTTGACGATTTAACCCACATTTTCTAATAAATTTGGTATTTGTACTTCATAATGGGTTCTACAACATTGTGCATATTGGTCCTAGTCATCTTAGTCACATTTACCCACGAAATTATGAAAATATGGTATTAAGACTCGCAATAAATTACAATCGTTATAGTATAAAATTGTCTATATAGGCCCCCCTTTTTGTATGGCCCCCATATAACGGGTCCAACCATTCTCCTACCGATCTTACTGGAGTTTGTAGTTTAAAGTGGAACACGTTTGTATAAAAATGTTTTCTTTATCCAATGGTGGAGGATATTAGAAGTTCGGCCCGGGCGAACTTATTGTGTTTTTACTTGTTTTTGATTAGAATCGAATCAAAAACAAAAAACAACATATGTCTAATCTATTGATCTTTGTATCCATTATTTTTTAAATAATATATTCAAAACATCTGGTAATTTTAAGAATAAAAAAGAAAACTACAGTGTGAGATGAAAAAACTGCAGCCAACTTAGACTGCTCTCATTTTTAAGCCACTCGTCCGACAGCTGTTAAAATTATTCCAGCGACAGCTCACTATATATTGTTTACAAGCGTACAAAAGCATTTTAGTGAGAATTTTCCAGTAAAAGAGTTATTCGTGATAGAATTCGCGATAGTGTGATTTCTTTATATTTGGCTGGAAACCCAGTGGCTATCGTTAGAGCACTCCAGCATTTAAATGTAAATAAATCTTTTGTGTCTCAAACCATCGCTCGTTACCTTGATAGGTGATTGGTAGCGTAGCCCGGCGTCAATGAAGTGGACGGAAGAAATCAGGAACATCAGCAGAAATGGTTCGAAAAGTAAAAAAGCGAGTTGATCGAAACCCGCGTCGCAGTGGCTACCAAAATCTCCGGATACCAATCCGTTGAACCATTGTGTCTTGGGTATTTTGGAAAGCAAGGTTGGCAAGCGCATTCGCTTCGCCGGGAATCGGTCAAAATACCGCAGAGCAACATTCGGGAGCGTGCGACGGTTTCATTGGCCGTTTGAAGGCCATAATTCTTGCCAAATGTGGCCAATCTAAAATCTGAAGTTATTCTAAAATTCGAAGCTATTTCCGACATTTTTTGCTTTCATTCAATAAAATTAGGAAATATATAAAAATATGACGTTTGACTTTGTTGTAGTTTTTGTATCTCACCTTGTATATGTACAAATAGTCTTATGACCTTAAAGATTTCAAGTATTCATAAGAAAAGTAACTTTTATTCATATAAACCAATGAATTTCAATATCCCTATATAACAAATTTCCTTATTTCCTATTTCTTTCCAGTGTCTCTTCATCGGAAAAGGCTGATCCAGAAAATCACTACGAAGAATTCAATATACTATCGCTACCCTATCCTGGCTGTGAATTCTTTAAGAAATTTCGTGACAATAATTATATGGCCAAGAATCTATATTACAATTGGAAACAATCATTTAATGATGCCATTATAAGTGTACCGAAAGCTGGTCCAACAGCTGATTTGAATATTAACTGGAGTGACTACAAACAATGGGATTTGGTGCAAATAACACAAAACTATCTAAAGGCCTGCCTAAAATATATACAAGAAGAAAATTCAGGTCTTCTGATACATTGCATCAGTGGCTGGGATCGAACACCGCTGTTTATATCCCTAGTACGACTATCGCTATGGGCCGATGGTCTTATTCATCAGAATTTAAATGCTCTACAAATGGCCTATTTAACACTGGCCTATGACTGGTATTTGTTTGGCCATCAGCTACCCGATCGTTTGAAACGTGGCGAAGACATAATGTTCTTTTGTTTTCATGTGCTTAAATATATAACCGATGAAGAATTTAGTATTGTAGAACATAGGTAAGTGTTTTTATGCTTTATATTTATTTTACATGGTACTAATCCTTTGTTTGTCTCGATTTCTTAAAGGAAACGTACTAAAACCTCAAGTAGTAGTGGTAGTAGTGTTATTGTTATTAAGTCTGATTGCTGTGATGATGAACCACTTAAAGAGTAAGTTGTTGATTTCCCTTTAATTTCCATATTGAGAGTTATTTTTATATCGTTTTTTTTTTTTATTTTACAGAGACTTTATATTAAGTTACGATCAAGACAGCAATGATAGTTTTTCCAATAGTTCCAACTGTGATATGTCCATAACGGATAATTTTTATGCAACTTCTGCAACGACGACAACAACAATGCCAACCGCCTCAGTAACAGCACAACAACAAATGGTTATGAATCCTTTTACAAGTCGTTCACCGAATCCTAAAAGGTATGTATACAGTCTATTTTATGTATCCTAAAGGTTAGGTTAGATAATAATTCAGCATGACCTAACTTATTCCTAAATCTCTGTCCATAATTTATTCAAGTTTTCCCGTTCTCAAAATATTCGAGTCGCCAAGTTATACCCGGCCAAGGATACTAAGATTAGCGCTCATTATTTAGCAACAACATTTTCATTTCCTTTCTTACAAGAAGTGGGTGTGCGGTCCAGAATAATATGATACTTGACCAACTCAAAAAAAGTAAAAGTAACACTGCAACTGTCTTTCCCTAGACCATACTGAACCATCCTCCAAATAATTTGCCATCTTTCTGAATACTACTAGTGACAATGACTTCTTTATTTCGAACAATCTTTATTTCGACAATCTGACTTCTTTATTTCGAATTTCTTTATTATAGTTGTCCCTAACTACATTTTTCTCCATTTAAAATAGACATTTCAATCGAATTTTTATACCCTACAACACTATGTGTTGGGGGTATTATAAGTTTGATTGGGCCAAGCTGGACTCAGCTGGGCTAGATCGCCGAGCTGTAACGAGTGATCGCCACCGCCCAATAAAGATCTACGAAGGCGAATATATAGTATTCAGGATTAGCATAAAGGAGCAGCTTTGATCGAAGATGTGAGCGTATACTCACAGCTATAATCGCTCAGACTATTCGTAGCTGATAGGTCATTAGTTCGGTGATTCCATCAACAGCTAAAGTTGGTTTGATCACACTCCAGTTTGAGTTGGTAGTGTTCATAATCATGATTATTGAGAAGTTTTTTTTTCATTTTGTGAGATTTTCAATGCATCCACAACATCCATTCTGTTAGTTGTGGGCATTGTGTAGTTAGTTCATTTTATATAGGAACATCTTCACCATAAATATTAAGTCTGTCATTTTTTATGGTTCTAGCTACCAAAAAAACGAAACTCCGTTTAAAGAAAAACCATGCACTTAATGCGATTCATTTAAAGCACTATTACATCACAGACCATTATGGTTTCATTGTCTTACGCATAGTAAAATAAACATATTATTTCCCCTTTTATATGTTACAGATCAAAAACTAGTCCTATATCAGTGCCAGGTGTTAGCGCAACACGTCAACGACAAGAGTCCACATCATCGAATGGTAGTTGGCAAGTTGTTACCGACACCGGATCAATTGATTCCATGATGAATGGCAGTTATATGATGCATTTTATATCACAACAACAACCGGATAATATATCGATAACATCGTGTAACAGTGGTCACTACGTAATGACAGGAAACGGAAGTACGACAGGAAATGGCTACAATTGTCATTCAAATACACCCAGTAATGGCAGCAATGCCAGTTTAAGTAGTAATGGTATAAACAATGGCGGTAACGGTGGTGGTGCACTAAATTTCCTAACGAATGGTATCAACGATAAGGATCTGATGAATGGTTCGAGTAAAACGTCAACAATAATGTAAGTACACATTACCACATATGTATGTCTACTTAAATTAGACTTAAAACTTAACTCACAAAGAAAAAATTTAGTATAAAATTGTCAATTAACTTTTAATGTATTTCATTTAAAGTAAACTACTGTACGAAATAGGAAGATATAAATTTTCAAAATGAGTCCATTCTGTGGACACCATTTACTGTCCTTAATCCATTCTTCAAAATTATCTTTTCTTGTTTTAAACTCACATAACAATTATTCCCAAAGTTGAATTAAGTGTTAATAAATAATTCTATTTCCCTCTCTGCTTTTCAGGCGTAAAAAACGTTTAAATGCCGTTAGAGCTATTTTCATACAGGCGTATGGGAAAACTGTTGGCCTTAAGTTTAAAGAAGGTTCTGCCATGAATTTAGCCACATTTATTGGTACTTTAGCCGATCAATTATTTTAGAAATAATGAGTGAAGGACGATTGATGAAAGAAGATCCCAAATCCAGTTGTCATTTTGTTAAAGTACCTTATTATCGATAACATCAACAACAATTACATCCTCTATCTACCTTTTCGTTCCTGCTAAACATATACATAGATACATATATTTTTGTTTTGTTTTTATTTTTTTTTTTATATATTTAATTATTTTTAATTAATTATTGGTTTACATCTATGCGCGTTTGTATATCATTTAATTTTTATTTTTAATTATGTTAATTAGTTTGAAGTTTGTAAAATAATCAAATATAAGTTCATAAGTAATAATAATATATAAATGAGATGAAAAACGATCAAGTTAAAGAATATTTTCACCACACGAAAGCGTAAAATAATGGAATTTAGTAGACGCTTTACTGCTGGCAACAATGACGACGAGGTTGTAATAGCAAACTTTTTTTGTTTTGTAGAAAAATACTTGTATTTTATTTAAGTTTAAAAGAGAAAAACAAATCAAATAATGTAAACGAAATTAAATATTTATTTATAGTTTTCGTAAAATGTATAATAATGAATTCGTTTTTAATTGATTTTTAGTCTTTTTTGTTGGTATTTTTATTTATTGCCAGTATTGTTGTGAAAAAAAAAACTCTACAATATGAACAATTTTATTCTACTTAATGAAAATAATCCAATACCGAATAATCCGCCACTGATATTGATATACATAATTCGATATTAGTATAAATGTTATTTATATAATTTATAAGAAGTCAAGTCTAACGATTATAAAATCATGGAAAGCATATTTTATCTGTGATTGAAAATAACTAAAATAATTGAAACTTTGTCTGCCACGTTGTAGAAGCAGAACAATAATAAACATTGTCCCACAAAATACTTGCTCTGTTCCAGTACCTGCAAGAATCACTAGTTTTGCAATTTTTTTTTCGATATCATAAAGGCAAAATCGGTTATGGTGGTAAAAACTTTTACATTCTTGCAGTTCTGGAACAGACCAACTGTTTTGTCTAGGCAATATTTGTTGCTATGTAACAGTTCTGCTAGGGTACTTTGGGTGGACAGTACTTGGCGAGAAAAATAAGTGGCTCCGGACCGTAGATTCTACTGTCTATTTGGGGGAGTCTCTGGACAGCATATTTTCCTATTCATATATTAGGTACGGTCAAAATATCATTCTAAATTTGACGGTTTTTAAACATAGATCATACACTTGAATTTCTGATCAAGTTTTTTTGTGTGCTTTCAACCTAATTTCCGAGCAGTCTCTGCGTCAGTTTCTATTTTTGGTAGCTTTTTGAAATCGTTACTACAGCAATATAACAAGTTTTTCACATGAAATCTCTTAAAACATTTATCAGCTTTACAATATCCAGGACTCCTATGTTGAGTTGGTATTAAATACGTCTAAGACAACCTACACCACAATTTTTGAAATGTTCTGAAGAGGAATTTGGTGTTTATGCTCAGTAGCCTCGAGAAAAAAATAATTTAAAGGGAATATTGAGAAGCCAGATAATGGTCCGTTTATAACTAACAAGCTTTATAAAATCGTAACAGATCATCTTGCAAGATGTTTGTAGAGTTGATAAGCGCAAATCAGAATAAACCATTTGAAGAAGTTTTGGATCCTTTACTCTTCCCCTATTTGTTTAAGTCTTTTTTAAAATGCTTTGGATTGGATTGAATTGCTTCACTCGGAGACCTTTGGTCCATCGTGTTGATCCTAGGAAGAAATGAGAAATTTGGGAATAGGAAAGATATAGAAGCTGTGAATAGTGGCACATTCTAAGCCGTATAGTGAAGCCCACACAAGTTTTAAGGAGGAGTTTATTCGAGAGGGTGGAGAAATGTTTGGCAGTTCCAAATTGAATTTGATACCCTACATTCAGTCGAATTTACACATTTTCACTAAACTTTTTATATCAATTGAATCAAATGGAACCATGGCTTCACCAAGTTTTTGGCTCATACGCGTATGTTGTCTATTCATCTGCCAATTTGTTTCCTAATATGCAAACTTTTAATGGATCTATGCGTTTTAGTAAACGGATAGCCAATTGATTGATTCCATTAGTCAGTTGTCTACTGATTGCAAAGATGACCACTTGAACTATGTCGCAGTTGTCCGAAATCTTGGATGCATTGCTGCAACTTAATTCTTTAGTGTTTAGAAGTGCGTGATGAGGTCCAAACTTTCTTACAAGAATTCAGTGCATAGCGTGTGAGTCATCACCAGGTTTAGGACTCCTAGGCCTGCTAGATCTAACGTTGGTCTCCATATCTTGTCTCTCGTCCACATCCTAGAATTTTTCGATGATTAGAAATCAGCTTCCATAACGTTTTAGGTCACCATCAGTTTCCAGTGCAATGATAACCTAGTACAGAAGATTATCAGTCAGACTAAGGGATGTGTTTGATGCTATATAATCCAGTAATTTTCTTTCCACCGAAAGTATCAATAAGGCTTTTTCAAAACAAATCCTGAACGGATAGTTCAAATTTGTCCCAAGTTAACTTTTGGTTATATTCAGCACAATCACAATGATTTTCCACGTATACTTTTCTATGCTAAACAAGCTTATAAGTTTCCTACTTTCGTGCATAAATCATTATACATTAACTTAAAAACACCAACAATGTAATTAATTACTGTCATAAATAAAAATGTTTAAAACACCCTTAAATAGTAACATTTATTGTGTATATAACATGTTGAAAACATATAACGAACTACGAAAAAACGATACCGGGATAAAAAAAAACATGCTGCCAACCGCCAGCCGTTGTAAAACGAAAAGTTATTTTTTTACATAAAAAAAACAAACACATATTTTGTAATTGTAATTGTTTTTATTTTTGTTTTCGCATTTTGTTTTGTTGGGTATAATGCATTTTTATTGCCGTAAAACAATTATACAAAAAGAAAAAATGAAATCATAAAAATGTTACAATTGAAAAACATAAAGGCAGCATTGTTATGAATAAAGAAAAATCTAATTTATAATACCATAATATAATGATTTGACTTTCTTTTTCAATCTTGGGAGCGGCCACTACCGTTAGTAACATTGATGTACGCTGGTGATTACTTTTCTGACATTTTTTGTACATTTACATTGTTGCAAGTTAGACTCCATGAAATGGGTTTGAAATGCATTTCTGTGACTAATGCTAATTTTATATTTTATACAGTATATAATATTAAACTGATTGCACTCAGTCTTGTTCTGTTCCAGAACTGCAAGAATGTAAAAAATGTTAATTGCGATGACCGATTTTTCCTTTTTGATATTGATAATATAACAATTTTCTACATGAACTCGAGTTTTTTACAACTAAAATAAATTTAATCTTGTTTAGACTTTAGGGATTTCGACTGTTTTCAACAGTAATCTTCAGGGAAATACAATAAAGATGCAAACAATTAACAAATAGGATAAACATTTCATGGAGAAAAATAACAGTTTTGTTGTTTTACGGTTTAAAGCATTGGCGTTGGACTCCTCTGCCAAATATACTTGTAGTTTTAGGGGCATGGCGATGTTGAATGAATCGAAAAAGAATTTGTGTGCGCATATTAGATTGATCGAAAAAAAAAAAAACAAATAATAAAGCAGCTAAGTTCGGCCGGGCTGAACTTTTAATACCCTCCACCATTTGGAAGGAACTTGAAAAAATTCAAAAAACTTCCGGAGACTATTATTTAAATGAGGCTATACGAAGACTTGGACTTGCTTACGAATTTTTTGTCATAGGCTGTAGTACCGTCGTCGATGTAGTAGTATGTCGATAAAATCATCAAAATACCGAATATCGGGATGTACCGTTATATGGGGGACATACGAAAACGTGAACCTACATACAATTTTTTGTCATAGGCTGTAGTACCCATTACGAACTTCAAATACGAAATTTGTTACAATTCCGGTGAATAATATCTCTCAAATCATAAAAATACCGAATATCGGGAGGTACCATCATATGGGGGACATCCGAAGACGTGAACCTGCAAACAAAAATTTTTTGTCATAGACTGTAGCACCCATTATGAACTTCCGAATATCGGAAAGTACCGTTATATAGGGGCTATACGAAGACGTGGACCTGCATACGATTTTTTTCCACAGGTTGTAGTAACCATTAAGATCTACTAATGCGAAATTTGAAACGATTCCTGTGAATAATGTTACTGAAATCATCAAAACACCGAATATCGGGAGCTACCGTTATGTAGGGGCCATACGAAGAAGTGGACCTACACACAAAAATATTTGTCTTAGGCTATTGTACCCATTACGAACTTTAAATATGAAATTTTAAATAATTCCGGTAATGTATGGATGCTATACGAAAACCTGGACCGTCATGGCCCTTTTACGAACTTAACCTGCCTACTGGTAAACTATGCATGTATGCAAAATTTTAGCCTTCTATCTCATTTCGTTCGAAAGATAGCGTGATTACAACAGGAAGACAGACGAACATAGCTAGATCGTCTTAGAATTTTAGGCTGATTCAGAATATATATACTTTGTAGGGTCTATTATAAATATTTCGAAGAGTGAATGAAAAAGTTAATATACCCTCCATAGAATGGTAGAGGTTATAAAAATGTTGACTGGGGTCTAGCTCTAAAAATAAATATTTAGCCGTTTCTACCAATAATGTCTACTAAATTAAACTTAGATGTCCATATTGAAGCTCACTTCGATAATCACGTTGACTTTCAACATTGTTTCCACCAGTTTTGAGAACAATCCAATTATTAAGTGTGAGTTTCTGGTCTGTGGGGTGACGATTTCTTTATATACTCAGTAAGATCTTCCTCCCTCATGTAGACAAACAAAAATATGGTGCCAGATGTAGTCCTCATGCCATTATTGTTAAATATTACCTCCAAGTTTTCGCATTCGTTTTATGATTTATTAATATTATCATAAGATGAATTAGAAGCTAATAAATACCATCAGGTGTGAAAGATGTAAAGTTTGGGATAAAATGTAGATTATTTTATTCAATGGCAAAATCTTTCTTATCCATAACTTACTCAATTAAAACTTACATTTATATTATTTATTAGTTTGTAGGAGCTACAATTCGTTATAGAAAAATAACACTATGCCTTAGTTGGAGCTCAAAATCAGTTTGGTGACGAACATGCTTGTGAAAATACTCAGACCGGTTCCGGGTTTCTTACCCTAGTGCACAGGGTTATTTATCTTCACAACTATCTTTTGCTATAGAATTTCTTAATTTGTGCCAATGGAAGATAATCTTCCAAATTCATGCGCTTAACATTAACATAACACGGCCGTATATGCTTGTGGGCCTCCGATAAGCGAACTAATCTTGCTGGATTGATACCATATAGTTGTTTTGCAACATCTGTGTTGTTATTCATCAGTCTTCTTTGTTTCCATGCTCTTTCAAAGACGGCTTTGAAACCGATATCGTTAAGCAAGTCATCAGCTTCATGATTGGCTTGTTTCGCCTCATTGAAATCTAGCATTTTCACCTGTTTACTATCCAATTCAGTCCGGAATAATACCTCCAAGATATCTTTCTCCAGGGCTAAACGTTTTTCCAGCGGCAATTCAGCAATTTCTGGCATGTAGTCTTGTAAAAGATTCTGGGCCGGGTTATTGGATTTCGGATTTGAATTCGATCTTGGATCCTCCAATTCAGCATTGATGTGCAGCACAGATTGCCTTAAAGAGCTGGGTATGGCCTGTAGATCATATGCCTTGCTCAGGCATTGTATTAAAGGTTTTAAAACTTGCCAGCGACTGATTAAATCGGATATAGAAAATGCCGCAAAGGGATCGTTTTCATAGCTGCGATTAAAGGCAGCATTAATACGTTTCCATGCCCACATCGTATAGTCTGGGTCTCCGTAAGACCTCACTCGAGGATTGTAGATAAAGGGATATTGTTGTATCAACTCCAACAGCTTGCCATCATTCAGAACAGTCTTGCCCTGGGCATTAACATTGGAAATGTTGAGAACTTGAATGCCACGGCCACCATCGCCACCCACCATGATGTATTTGTAAGATTGTTTATTAAAGATGTGTTTAATGAACAATGTGTTTGCAAGATGTGTTTAATGAACAATGTGTTTGCAGATGTGTTTAATGAACGTAACGAATCGAATATGAAGGTCACAAAGGAATACCCGATAAAAAATAAAATGAAAGCAAAGGCTCGGGGTACTCTGTTGTTTACGAATGAGTGTAATGCATAACGCCCGGGTACTCTGTTGTTTACGAATGAGACATGAGAAAATTGAACATATTCACTAAAAGAGCCCGGAACTAGTTCGTTGCGAGCGTTGGAAACAAAAATGAAAAACGTCCCAAAGAAACGAATATGAAGGTCACAAAGGAATGCCCGATAAAAAATAAAATGAAAGCAAAGACTCGGGGTACTCTGTTGTTTACGAATGAGACATGAGAAAATTGAACATCTTCACTAAAGAGCGCGGAACTAGTTGCTACTATCGTTTGCCGATCTCGACTATGGGTGAAACCGAGTACTCGACTATTGATAGCAGTGTTGCCACCGAGGACACTGCATATTGTCGCTATCGACAAAAAACGACAATCCTAATATCATTATTGTCGCCTCGACTTGCGACGTCGGAGACAACCATAATAGGGTCGATTGATTTACTTTAATAAGCCGATTGCTATATTTTTCACATATATCATCCCAAAGTGTTGGCGACAACCGTTAAAGCGATGGTACGAGACACAAATGATTTATTCACATTTAAATGCTAGAGTGGAGTGTGTAGCTAACGATAGCCAGTTGTGGTTTTCCAGCCAAATATAAAGAAATCACACTATCACGCTTGAATTCCATAACGAGTAACTTTTTTTCTAGAAAATTCTCACCAAAATGCTTTTGTACGCTTGTGACAATATAATAAGCTGTCACTGGAATAATTTTAACAGCTTTCGAACGAGTAGCTTAGAAATGACAGCAGTCTGAAGTTGGTTGCAATTTTTTCAGCTCACCCTGTATATGCACTCATTCGCTGTGGAAAACGTCGCAAATGAGAATAAGCATGACCCCTCAACCGCACACACGTCAAAATCGAGCGTCAGAGAAAAATCAAAAATTTTTAATTTTGATTCATGCATCGTATTTGTGACGCATATATACAAATGTTAACTAACACTGCCTTTACACGGTGCAATTTGTAGCTGGCATTTTTATCAATTCTCTTTTAAAATTTCTGCGTAAATCTTCGCGCCTTTACACGGTGTCATTTTACGATAATATTGCCTGGCATTTTTTTCTGACATTTTATTTTATTCAGTATTTCGTATAGAGCTAATTGTTTGCAACAGATATTTATAAAGAAGTGATTTAAAATTAAATGTGTGAATCTAAAGAAGAAATGATGGAAAAAGTTATTGAGGTGTTAAATATTGCATTATTAACTTTTATTTTAACTTTCTTTTTTTACTTTTTAATACTTCCAATTAATTTTCATATAATTCACTATACAATTCAGTCACTAAAAACATAACATCACAATAAAAGAAACGCATCAAAAATTACAATAAAGAAACGATATGAAATGTCAAAATCATAAAAAATTCGGAAGAAGCAAAAAGAGAAATGCAAAGAAAATTGCATGTAACCTTGTGCGGTGGCTTATCGTGCCATTTTTTCTTCTATCCTTGTCTCTCTACACCTTTTACCAACAAAAAAAATGACATGGTTAAAAAATGTCACCGTGTAAAGGCAGTGTAACACCATAAAATTGCATGCCATGCATTTTGACCGTGTACGGGGCACTTTAAAATTGGCTTGGAACGCTTTTTATTTGATAGGAATTGTTTCAAACAGCGTTGCCATAATTTTCTAATTTGAATTTGCTAAGCTTGGCAGCTCTGTAATAGGTTATCAAGAAGCAAGTGAACTTTTGCACAAGAAAATTTTTTGATTTTGATTCATGCATCGTATTTGTGACGCATATATACAAATGTTAAATAACACCATAAAATTGCATGTCATGCATTTTGACCGGCACTTTAAAAATGGTCTGGAACGCTTTTTATTTGGTAGGAATTGCTTCAAACAGGGTTGCCATAATTTTCTAATTAGAATTTGCTAAGCTTGGCAGCTCTGTAATAGGTTATCAAGAAGCTAGTGAACTTTTGCGGAAGGAAGGGTTTCGTTAGATTATTACATAGAATTATAGAATTATTCTTTTTAATTGTGTTTTGACCATCCAAGAAACTGGCACATAAGAGGCAGCGCAGAATGTCATCTCAACAAATCAAGGTGAGAAGTTGGTATAATGTTCGTAGGCCACGAACGACACTATTGAGAAGATGCATACCGGTAAAAAATAAACATGAGCCCAGCCGAAAATATCGGAAAGTGTAGTTGTAATGAAAGAGAGAAGTGAATGGGAAGAAGCTTTGAAATAACCATATATGGGGCTTTCCATTAAGATATTTGAGTAATTAGGCCATAGTAGATCAATAGTCCAGATTCACATATACATTACTGATGGACGCCGTCTCTATGAAATTAAGTTTACATCAGATACGGTGGTGATAGTACAATCAGAGTCTAACATTAAAGAAAGCCTTATTAATATGTAAAAGTGGCATAATTATCTAGGATCTAAATGACATGCAAGCATATCCTCTAAATAAATAGCGTCTTTTGTGCTAAATGCAAGAGAAACGAAGGAACAAACCACAATTTATTTCTCTATTTTTATTTTTTTTTCAAAACTAACTTGTTTGAAAACATTTATTTTCAGATTGGTATAATTGGCGGTTCGGGTTTAGATGACCCAGATATTTTGGAGAATCGCCATGAAACAACAGTGACCACACCATACGGTAATCCCTCCGATGTCTTGATCGAGGGTGAAATTCAAGGTGTCAAATGTGTACTGTTGGCACGTCACGGTCGTAAACACAATATTATGCCCTCAAATGTTAATTATCGTGCAAATGTTTGGGCCTTGAGGCAAGCAGGTTGTACACATCTTTTGGTATCCACAGCATGCGGTTCATTGCGTGAAGAAATTAAACCAGGCACCTTGGCTATACCAAACGATTTTATTGATCGCACCACAAAGCGTTGTCAAACATTCCACGATGGCGGAGAAGAAAGTCTTAAAGGTGTTTGCCACTTGCCCATGTATCCAGCATTCAATGAACGTTGCCGACAAATTTTATTAAAAACCGTAAAGGAATTAGGTTTTAATGTCCACGATAAGGCAACAATGGTAACAATAGAAGGTCCAAGATTCTCTTCACGTGCCGAAAGTAATATGTTCCGTCAATGGGGTGGTGATCTTATCAACATGACCACGTGTCCCGAAGTCGTATTGGCTAAAGAGGCTGGTTTAATGTATGCTGCTGTCGCAATTGCTACAGATTACGATTGTTGGCGTGAGGGTCATGAAAGTGTCAATGTACAAGATGTTTTAAAAACATTTTCGGAGAATGTGGAAAAAGTCAAACAGATATTGGTTAAGGCTGTTGTGAAGGTGGCGGCAGATGATTGGTCAGAGGCAATTACAGAAGCCAAGGTTAGTGTTAAAATAAAATCACTTAACAAAACGTGTTGATATTAATTTATGTATTTTTCAGCAATTCGTTGTTAACAATACCATGGGAGGCAAATGAAACTGAAGTCAATTGCTGTTTAGTATTTATATCTTCCATGATGTTTTATTTTTATGAAATAAGAAATGCATTTATTTTTAATAAACCCCACAAAGAAACAACAACCAGTTATATAAGTTATAAATCCCATTTTATTTGTCGTGCTTATGTTACTTAATTCCCCCATGTATTATCAATTTATGTTGTCGTACCCACTGTTTTCAGAAGTTAATCTATCTTAAGGACATTTTCTTTCAACTTGACTTTTACCCGATTCTTCATATTCCTGAGATGATATCCACATTTGTTGGAATGTACCAATGGAAGCTAATATTGAGCCTCCTATCCAGGCGCCAAATCTTCGCTCAACACTGCCATTTGCAGAAATCATTTTCAGACGTGTATTAGATGGTGCGCGTAGCTGCAGATCACGATTCAATCGTTCGGGGAAGCCTTGTAGTAGTGTGTTTCCCCCTGTAAAAGAGAAAGGAGAATTACATTGAAAGCAAAACTAGAAGTTTTTTCAAAATTAGTTGAAAATATGGAAGCAATTAATACTTTAACATGCCAAGTTTTATTCCTAATAATTGGCGTCAGGAAAATGTTTAAGCGAAACAAATTGAGTTAAGCTCTAGCTGGCGGAAAATTCTTACCGAAGGTAGATCTTGGGTAAATCAATACTTCCCGAGATATAGGGTTCCAAAGTTCCAAAAATATCATTTTTTATCTGGTATTTCTAAACCAATGATCGAAATAAAAACTTCAAAATGTTTTTTGGTTTTTGTATACTGTTAAAAATATGGTGAAAATTTCTGAACTTTTTGAAATTTGCCTTAACACCTTTTATGGAAAACCCCTTTGGAGTGTAGACTCGTTGATCAGCGTAAAAGTTCATGTTATTACATGAGAACTTGCAATCTTTCTCATAGAGCGTTGAAATTTCACTCCTAAATTAAATTTGCCTTAACCACTTTTATGGAAAACCCCTTTGGAGTGTAGACTCGTTGATCAGCGTAAAAGTCCATGTTATCACATGAGTCACTATAGAACTTGCAATATTTCTCTGCGTTGAAATTTTACTACTAAAATGTTTGAAATTTCAAAACCAAGCATAGAGTACCGTCCAATTTAAACATCATTCCGAATCGTAGTGGCTCTTATTGACGAATAAAATACCTCGATAATAAATGGCGTAACGTTTTTACCAAGCCCCCATTTAGTACTTGATGAAATTCCTACACGCATTTTGGAACTGTCCAAATTTCCTAATTTAAAATTGAATAATGCGTTTTCATCCTTATTGGTACGAAATTAGCCTTCATCATTGTTAAGCGAACTTACCTGTTACCACCACAGAACCGTAGAGGGATAGACGTACATCAGCATCACACATGCCAACACTTGTCGACGCCAATTGTCCGGCACCCAATGGTGCATGATCGAATAGACTTTCAGCCAGTTTGAAACGTTCTGAGCCGAACTCCTGGTGGTAGCCCGTTGGAAATTCATAGTGCACGGTAGGTATTTGTGATGCCACCCTTTCATCATATGGATTCTCCAAAACTTGTAAAATATTCATTTGAAAATCTTGCAGCAGTAATTTTTGCATATAGTTTTGCCATGACTGAGTTAAATTATCTGGTATTTTACGTGTTGTGAAACGTGGATTATCTCTTTCCTTGACTACATCTTTGGAAGCAATTTGATAGGATGGTGTTAAATCGATGCCAATCTTTTCCAAGTGCTGACGACATTGCATGGAAAGGTAATCTCCACCCAAAGGTGACTTAACAACGGCCTGTGACAGCACATAACCTTCATGTACCGGCACGGCAGAGGTATGGGTGGCACCGCTATCTACAACCAAGGCTGTTGCTCTGCCGCTGGCAAAAGCAGCCAAAACTGCATTTTTCACCAAAAAGAAAGCCGGTACATTGTACTTCTCAAACATTAGTTCTGTCAGCTTTTCACGATTGTTGCGCACATTCCACGAGGCCTCCGAAAACAATACTGGGTGATATTCTGGTTCAGATTGTATTACCTTGGCATAGGCATAGTCTATTACTTTTTCAAATAAATCCCAATTATCGATCATGCCATCCTTCATATAAGTTTGGATCTCCATTTGGGAACGTGGTACATTTATATAGGTTGTATCCACATAATATTTGTGTGATGGAGCGTCTGTAAAGAGAACACATTAACTTTAAAGCCGATAAGGCTAATTTTCATGACTTACTATTCTGTGTCACATTATTATCAGCTTTGGTTTCTAAATCCATATTTGTATCTGGTACACTTGGTCCAACTCCCACAACAGAGGGTATTTCCGCTTTAGGTGTATCCTCTTGGGCATAACCCACACGCAGTGAGTGATGCCCCGGATCAAAGACTAATGCACCAATTTCATCACCACCGTATAGCATGTTGCCGGAACTCATTTTGCTGCTGTATCTGTAGATATTTCAAAGATTTTTGAACACTACTTTCTTTCAAAATTACTATTTTCTATGTGATTTTTTTTTGCATACACACGATTGTCAAACAAATGCCGCTTGTTTATGAAGCCTAAGAAAACCGAGTTAAGTGTGTATGAAGTTCCGGCGTTAGAAGTTGGATAAAATGGCATTGCCAGATAAAAATTATAAAAACAAGTCACTGAGATAGTATTGCCAACCGTTTTCACTCGAATCGTTTAGTTAAAGTACGTTTACAGTAATAAAGGTTGCACAAAGGGATTATTAGATCTAGTGGGTTAACACATAGAGAATTTTCGATGAGCTGAAAAAATTATGAAAAATGATGGCGCAAAAAAAAAAAAAACAAATTTAAAGGCAAAACAATTTTGAAAAAAATATTCATTTACTTTGGTGAGTGTTTGCAAGGAAATTAATGCATCTTTCAATATACTATCGTGAGGAAATATAATTTTAAGTTTTTGTTGTTGTTTTAAGTTTTTGTCAAAGTGTAAACAACGCCTTCACGAATACCCTTGCAGTTTTTGGTATTGCCTAAAATGCAATACATTTTTAATTGTATGCAGTTATTTATTGAAAAATTAATAAACACACCCAATTGTGTTGTTCGTGAACTCATATATTTTATTCCTAAAATATTTATTCATAATAATATTTATTGTAAGATCTAGTGGTTTAGCACTGTGTGTCTACATATATCCATAGAAAGAGAGAATAGTCGGTGAGCTGGTGAATCAAAAAAAAAAAAAAAAAACAAAAAATGTAATACATTTTTAATTGTATTACAGTTATTTATTGAACAATTAATAAACACATCCAATTGTGTTGTTCATGAACTCATATATTTTATTCGTAAGATATTTATTACCAAAAAGAAATTTACAAATATTTGCCACATTAATACTTTTGATTCCCGCACTTATTTTATTGGTAAAACAAGTAAAACTATGGTCATGAAAGGCACTCACACAGAAAGAAAATACAATCCTTCAAAATAAAAAATCCAAATCTTTTGCGCAGTTCATTTCCAGCAGCATGGTACAATTAATGCAAGGTAATGTCATTTCAAATAAGCATATCCAGGTCTGCATTTTCTGTAATTTTGACTTCACTGAGATGTTGTCAAAAGTATAGTTTAAAAAATTGTAAACAAATTATTACATGAGGCTACATTTCTAGTTCTACCATATTTAAAGTCCAAATTATTAAAAGTCATATCCGAAAAAGTCAAATTAAATATGCTTTTTTGGTTATGGGAACGGTTACTTGCAGATACTGGATCAAAGTTATAGTTACAGTAGTGTTAACGATTTTAATTTGAAATAATATTTACATGTATGTTATAGACTTAATTAATATAGTCCTGGATTGGTTTCATTCGTCGCTACTGCTCTCCACAATATGCATTAGTTCCACAATTTGATCATTAAAATATTGATATAACACTGTGACAGCTATTGACAGTAACATCAGTAATTGAATCTGTAATGAAAGCAACAGTTATTTCATGATTATAATACTATTTTCGGTAAGCCATTTGTGTATCTTACAATAACAAAGTTCCATATTTTGAAGTCGACAATATTGAACAGCTTTAAATTCATTTCTTTCTTCAAACCACGTTTGAGGTCTTTTAAAATAGTCAATTTGTCCTCTGATAATGTTTTGGTCTCAATTTTTTTATTGATCATCTTATAAAACCCACTTTTCTGAAATCGAAAAAAAAATATATATAATTTTATGTGTTTCGTAAAAATCCAAAGGAAAGGATATATTCAATCATGGTACAATAAAAAGGTAAGGTAGAGCTAACAGCTGATTACAATTTTTTTCTAAGTGTGCCAATTTTGTGTATGTATTTATTGTTTTGAAAAATAAAAACAGAATATTTTCAAAATGATTGGAAGACGTGTAAATTGGGAGACGCGTATTAAAGCTATTCGCCAGTTTGACCATGGAATTGAAAGATAGATCTGTCTAGATCATATTTTTGAAAGCACATTCAGGCATTTCTTTCATTTTCCTCGCTGTTTAACTGAATTTAAAAATGAGGAAAAATATTGAATGAATGAAAACAATATGTTGCATGCAAATTTGACAGGAAACTGACATAGCCTCAGGGCTGTATTTCTCTAGTTTTACGAAGCTGTTCTACCTCCTTATTGTACCATTTATTTAATGACTAAACTCACTAACTAAATTAAGGTAACCTAAAATATGACCATCGGCTTAACAAGGCAAAACTCAAATATTAAAAATTCAGCCGAGCCTGGCTGTGGAATTTGAGCCGCGGACTAGAAGTTGCCGTCTCAACGTTCAGAGCCATTAACCCGTCTTCCTACAGCAGCACTATAACAGGTGTATGCAATAGTGCAAACAATGTAGTTACAGTGAACAAAAAATCCATCACCACATAAATAAACTTTGCTGTGAAGAAGATTTGCTAATAGAACTTGAGTCGAACTTGGAGGGATTCTGGTGTTTAATTCGCATATGCTTAATTGTCCAAATATATCCATACCAGCCGATGACTTAAGCCAGCCAAATATGCGCTCTATGTATTTCCACCCTTAGTATCATGGTAGAGAATGCAGGTAGCCGCATCGACCCAGCTGCTGGGACAATGAACTGTCAAACCAATTTTGGATTAGAACTTTTTGAATAAAAAAAATTATTCATATTTGTAAAAAAATAGTTCAAAGATTCATATCATAACAGTCTCCGATTGGCGTCGTATAGGAAAACATATACAAATCTACTTACTTTTTAAGAAGCATTGATGCAGCTACCTGTATTCTTTTACCATGGTTAGTATGTAGATTCCACACCAGATTTAAAATAAATCTGGTTGTCAGAATATCTACTTTTTATGATAAATTTAGTTGAATAGATCTGGATTAAGCAATAAATCCTAATAATGTGGGTTCATCCGAATAAACTTTTGTATCTAAACGCGCTATAATAAAACAAACAAAATAATATTTTTGTTGAAAATGCTTTTGCTCACTTTTTCTTTCCCGAACCTTTTTAACCACTTCTCTAAGAGCATATTACAACAATTCACGACAGTTCACTCTTTTGCTAACTTTATCACAAAAAATACGGGAACGGAGCTATTATGAATCAAATTTTGATATACAGAGGAAAATATACAGGGATAATAAAAGTGTAAATAGCATAAAAGTGTAAATGACATTTCGTCTGCCTTAAAAACGACGAATTTTATGATTTTACTCGTGTAAGTCCAATGGTAGAACAATACAGGTAGACGCATCGACACAGCTGATGAGACAATTAACTGTAAACCCAATTTTGAAATTGAAAACTTTAAATGAAACACTTAAATCATAAAAACATATGATCTTCGCCTTAACAAGGCAAAACTCGAAAATTATTTAAATTTGTAATATTTTAATGCTTTTCATAACAACCTCTGAGTCCTATAGGAAATCATTAAAAAATTCTGACATTTCAATGTTCCGAAGCGTTAATGCATCTACCTGTATTCTTCTACCATGATAAGTCCCATTAACATTATATGTCTAAAAATTTTAAAATGTTTTTTTTTCAAATATAAGTAGCTTTTTATTTGTTTTTTTTTTTTTATACGACGTCAAGCGGAGGTTATAACGTGCGTTTTTCAACATTTTTTACAAATTTGAATAACTTTTTTACCTTATTCGACTCCCTTCTTTTCCATAAAACTCATTTCATTTTCATAAACTTTCGGTTTTTTTTTGTTAACACAGGGTGTAAACTTGATAATACTATTAAGTACGTTCATACATGGCTCAATCAAAAAAGTTGCTCAACTTCAAGAAACAAGGAAAAATATAATAGCATGTTTCCATTGGAAACCGAACAACGTTGTTCGCTCTCAGAATTAGGTACACGAATTAACCCGTTCATACGGCACGATTCGTAATTCATAGTAAAATAATTCCTTTTTTTCAAAATTTTGTTTTTTTGATTTTAATGGGAATTTATACAAAAATACATTAAATTCTCACTAATATGAATAGAAGAAATGATTATTTTTCTACCAAAGATTTATTATAACATTAATTTTATAATTGTCATTTACGTCTCCAACTTTTTGTGTAAATGTTGACATTTTGAAAATATTTTTGTATTTTTCTATTTTTAAATTCTGCTGGAGAGACACTTGTCAAACTTTTTTTCTGCCGATACAAACATTATGAAAATATTGCCTCTTTTGTTTCCTGTTTTCTGTGGTAATTTCAACTCATGGACAAAATGCGTACCTCGGATGAGAGAGGAAACAAAATTTACTTTCGTTTGAATGTACATACGCTATTCTACATTGTAGTTTTCATTCATAAATTTCAGTCTTCCCAAAATTTTTCAAAATTTCATTATTTTTTTCTATTTTCAATTTTTAAATGTCATAATTAATTTTTTCGATAAATACTCTCACTTGTTAGGGATGAGACATATTTTTTAGTCATTCTGAGAGTGATTTGATTTGAACAATGTACAAATGTGAGTGTTCGCTCAGGAAATTTTGTGTGAAGAATTAAGTAGTTTTTTCATAGTTAAGGGTCAAACAACGAATAGAGAGCGAATCAAGTGCAGTGGGAACGCCACATAACTCTGTGTCGGAGTCTTATAGTGTCAAATAATCTTTTAAATATACAACAATTGATTTTGTTTATTTTACGTTTTTTAACAAAATTCTTATGTTGGGGAAAACCGCAAACATGAGTGGTTATTCCACAAAATTGTATCTAAAGTAGTAGGACAATAATGTTTTATCTAAAAATTGTACAATTTGTTGATCAGTAACTTCGAAAATTGGTATTTATTTTGCAACTGAAAATTGTATTTTTTATTCAAACCATTTTAGAACTAAGAATGTAAAGTCATGTAATCATATGTTTATAATTTTTTCAAATTTATACATTTGACAACATCTTATTGTCAAAATCTATATTCATAAATCCATTGAATACACACAAAATCAGAGGTGGGAAATGTTGTTTATGCATTGAAATTTGACAAGGTAAATTACAAAAATGCAGAGCTGGGAATGCCAATTTGAAATGAGGTGACCTTTATTTCATTGTACTATGATTCAAAAGGTGTGTATGTTTTGACAGAATAGGGGCACAAGAGACAAAAAATGTATTTAGGTGGTAGCTTTGTCCTACCTTCTGTAATTGTGCTATGCGTACATATATTTTTAATGAGATGTTCTCCTCAAAAACATTTTACCTGGCAAAAAATAACACCATAAGTATTTTGATTGTCTGAAAATGTTATTATGATGAAATACCATCTATTTCTGACATTTCTACTAGTTTTCTTGATTACGTTTTCATACTCTAATTCACAACTGCATCTATTTTGACAATACGGATGAAATCAGCTTGTCTTATCGGCCCAGCTGATTACCAAATTTAGTTTAAAGATGTATTATTGTGATTGAAATTGCAGTACAAAAACCAAACAAATAGCAAATGAAAAGCAAACAAATTTTGACATTTAGTTCGATTTTCCTTATTGGCGAACTATTGTGATTTAAAATAAAAGGTATATGAATACGTTATGCAATTTCCACTTTTCAAACTTACCGTTTTCCTAAAACTCAACAGCGTCATGGTCAAAAGGAGATAATCCAAAAATATGCAAACAAATATGACCGAATTAGCAGCATAAAAGACACGGCGATTGCGATCGGTAAATATGAGATGCCAAGATTTTTCAAAATACAATTTCGTATAGATGCCATAGAGCAGGCAATTGTAGTTGAGACCGTTCAAAATTAATAATTGTCTTTGAAGGATTTTATTGGTGGAACTCAAGTACCTGGCAATGCCATTAACTCCTTCGGAGACATATCGATAAATATCCATAGGAGTTATATCTTCCACTGGTGTCTTGTTCACTTCCAATTCATCATTTTTAATAATTTCATCCATGGATGAGAACCCCTCATTTGGATTCCTATTCTCCTCTAGATCCTTTTTCAAAACAGGATTTATAATTTCTACGATTACGTTTGATTTTTGGCTTATTGGGTCTTGAATTATCAGCTGATCTTTGTATTCCGATAATTTCGTTCGCAAAAGCCACAGAGACAATGTGTGGAATCTTAGAGCTCCAGCCACCATAAAGTGGGGTATAAATAACGCCAAGGCAATCATTATGTGGTCCATGGGAGGTAATACAAATTTCATTTCTATGGCTATGTATAAACCAAAAGCAAAGGCAACCAAAAGGGTGGAGAAAAATATCAAATATGTCAATAACTCTTCACGGATAACTTTTTTCGCCGTAGATGCATTTTGAGGAGCCTTTGTGCCCACCAACACCGCCAGCAATCCATTGAAAACTTTTGTCAAAAATGTCCACTCAATCATGCAAAAAACAAAAGTTTTCAGTCCTAACCATATTTGAAACAGCAGTAGATGTTTCAGAAATGGTGATAAATCAAAGGTGATTTTTAACAAAGCCGATTCTTCGAAGTGATGTCCAAAGCAAATCAAATAAATGACAAGGAGACCCACAAAGTACAGCACACTCCATAAGGATACACGATATCGTTGACTTTTAACATCCAAAGTACGAATTTGATAGCCCGTAAAAAGTAGATATCCACTGGCTATGCGTAATATCCGTTGGTAGTTCATATTGAACGCGGATTTGAAACTAATTTGAAATTTCGATGAATTTTAAACAAATAAAATAAATGACCGCCATTAATGACAAAGATCGAAATCGGTATTTGAGTTAATTACCCATAACAATTGGCGTTCATGGTAGTTCATTGGTATTTTATTGCGAATGGATTTAAAAATGATTTTTTTTGGTGTTCCGAAATAATTATTTGGACAAGTACTTTTAAATAAAATGCCCTTTATCATAATCTATAATCAAGGGGTCGTATGATTACATACATACAATAAGTTTTATCATTTTAAGAATCTTTTCCAAACCCAAAAATATTACCTGTATTCTTCTACCATGTAATAAATATATGGTATTCGCTATTTCCAGAGTAGTTTTTCATCTTGTCTGAAGTAGTTTTGGAAGTCGTAGCGTATTGTTCTGGCTTGATTTTACAAAACTATATTACAAAACTATTAGGTTTAAGACTTAAGTGTCCTATGAAATTATCTGTTTTTCAATTTTGTCTTCTTTCTGCCTTGAACTCAATTTCGTAGAATAACCTGAACATTTCATTAATGTTTTGTAAGTTTTCCCCCATTCTAAGAATTTGAAATAACAGTAAAATAAACAAAGCCAATTGTAGCATGCTTTAAAAGTTTATTTGACACAATAAAACTCGCGTACAGAGTTGTATTTTTCCTGCATCCTTTGCAGTTAAGCTGCCTTTCACATGTTATTCTGTGCAAATGTTATTTTGTACAAATGATAAAAATATTGGCACGTGCAAAATTTAAAATATATATCCAATTTTATACGGAATCATAAATTCCGATTAATTACATATTTATAACAGATTTCTGCCTAATATAGCAAGTTGTATAGAATCGCCGTCTTGTTTCGCAATTACGACAGATATAAGTTTTGGAAATTGTGTCTCTTTGGGGTTGAGGTACCAGAACGGGTGGGCAGATATCTATCATGTGTAGGTGTGGGAAATTTTATGACATTTGTATGCTTATTTCGCGATCTAATGTAAGTAAAAATAATGGAATGTGTGAAATTTGAAGTGAACCGGATGTTTATTTCGGATTTTATAATCGTTTTGGTTATTCAAAATGTTGAGCCTTTGTGGGGGAGGTACCAGAAAAGCGGACCGATACATTCCATCTTCTTAGAAGATCTTGTGTTAGTAAAAATAATGGGATGTTTGAAGTATGAAGAGAACCGGCTGCTTAGTTCCGATTTAATAATCGTTGTGGTTATTATAGCAGATCTTGTGTTGATAAAAATATTGAGAATTGCCAATTTGCTGAATGGAATCGGATGTTAATTTCGTGTCAAAATGGTTTTGGAAGAATATCTAGTTTTATTCGAGCAGTCGATAAGTTGCTACCGGATATTTTTCTGAATGAAATTTAGGTGTACGTAAATATAACTTCCTAATTTTTTTTTTGCAGAAAACTGTACAGGTTTATTATTGGTGGAAAGTTTGGGTTATATACACACTTAGCACCTTTAGATATTTAATTTTGATTTTGAAAGAAGATGTGACAAAGATGGTCATGACATGCCTTTGTCTTATATATATATATATATATATATATATATATATATATATATATATATATATATATATATATATATATATATATATATATATATATATATATATATATATATATATATATATATAAATGGCGGATTTTTGACGGGTTACTTTTTTATAATTTTGCTTAAACCATTATCTCAATATACATAGTTTCTATAATGTAATAGAACTTTGTGAGAACGTCACCTTATATTTATTTATTTTTATTTTCATCATTCGTCTTATTTATTATCTTCCAAAATAATTTATAGATTATTTAATTGTGCAAATATAACATCGATTTTTTTTTCAAAATATGTATTTTACGATAACAGATATAAAATTAAAAAAAATCTAACAAAATATTTTTATATCAAAACACATACAATCACAAAATAATTTTGAATTTCTCTGCCTAGCCCTGATCTAAATTCACAGGGTTAGCGCACTGGATCTATTAAACCCAGTGGGTTAATCTTAAATAATAATTATTACACGTTACTAAGTAGTTTTTGCTGGCAAAATTATGGCACACATCAATTGTGGCGATCGCCTGAAAGTATGCCACAAAAATGTTAAATATAAACATTATAGAAAATACAGGGATTGGTAGCATAGACAAAAGAAAATATAGACAACGAAATGCTCTCACCGTTTATCTTCGAAAAAAATCGGATCAGCAGATGTCGTCTATATCGTTTCAGGGGTTTGAGTGGGAATATTGAAGTCACTCAATTCTAAAACGTTAAAAATAACAAAAACTGTAGGATATTTGTCAGTTGAAAATTATATCATAATAAAAGAAATGTGAAAAGTACGTGATGACATCAAAAAATTCCGGAATAATCAAGTGAAATTCTTGAAAAACATTGAAATGTGTTTTCGAAGTCGAGTGGCTTGAACGCGTAAATGAGCATGTTGACTATGCAAAACATGATGAGAGCCACCTGGAAAAAAAGACCAAACTAACTTTTCGTTGTCTATATCTTAATTTGTCTATGGTCTTATATCATAGACAAATTAGGTATAGACTAAAAAGTTGTCTCATCTGTTATCTTCGAAAAAAGTGCTTCAATAGATGTCGTTCATGCTGTGAGAGAGGTTCAGTAGACTCACTCAATTCTCTCAAAATACAAAATATTGAATATTTTTATGATTCTTTATTATTTATCAATTAAAAACGAAACAGTGGCTTTGTTTACTTTTACATGATATAAATATGTCGTGAAATATAAAAATATAGAATTTAAATAGCAGAAAAATGAATAAATTGTTTTCGAAGTCGAGTGACTTCACTAGCCCTGAGTGACTTGACTGGCCCAAGATCAACAATAGTGACATCTGCCGGAAGGGAAAATTTTAAAACTTTTTAGTCTATACCTTCATTTGTCTATGCTTATATGAAATGACTTTGCCTCCTTAATTGTGTTTTTGGCAATTTGTGCCCGACTTTGCTGAAAGTCGTCTGTTAACACAAAAGTTATGCAAAAGCGAGCGATTCGATAAACAAAGTTCTTTCACTGAGTTTGCAAATTCTTGCTGGACAAATTTCTTCTTGTAACTCTTCCTCTTCTCCTTCTGGTGATTTTTATTTGGGTAGTTTAATTATTTTTACTTTGAAAATCTCAAATCTACTTTTTTGTCCTCGGTTCATTATAAATTTTTGTGTGCATTTTATGGCGGACAAATTGTTTCGTTTTTGACAAACCTCTAATCTAATTGCTTGCAAGTTTATGTTGACATTCCGTCTGTTTAGTTTTCACAGTTTTCTAGCTAATAAAACCGCGTTACACTTTCAGAAAGAAACTAATTCCTGCAGGACAAGTAACCAAACAGACCTATTGTATGATGACAGCTTTTCACTGTTTACGCGAATTCCAAATATAGACAATTGTATTTTGAGATAATGGAATGTCTATTAAATAGGGTTTGTTTATGCTTGTCTGTGTGGAGAGAATTACGCTCATTATGTTCACTCGTGCCTACATTTGCCTGGCCCTACAAAGTAATTATATCTTACAAGGTGGCGCAAAAGTAATCCTGCCATTAAAAAATGCGATATATTTTACGATTGAGCCCTAATGTCTTAATTACAGCCCAGAAACATCGGAAGTTTACTTTTGCGCCACCTTGTACATGCTTATGTTCTTGACAGTTATTCCGGTTTGTTTTGGCTGCTATTAAGACCATGGTACAATAAAAAGGTATAGTAGAGCTACCAGCTGATTAAATTTTTTTTCTAAGTGTGCCCGACTTATGCCAATTTTTTGTCTGTATTTATTGTTTTGAAAAATAAAAACAAAATTTCAAAATCATTGAATGGAAGAAGCTTAAATTGCGTGGCGCTCACTAATGATATTAACCAGATTTGCCACGGAATTGAAAGATTGAAAACTTAGGATCATATTTTTGAGAGAATATCCAGACATTTCATTCATCTTTCGAGCTATTTGACTCATTTTAAAAATGAACAAAAAATATCAAATAAATGAAAACAACTTGTTAGATATAATTTTGAATTATTCTGACAGAAAGCGGGCATTGCCTTAGGGCTGTATTTATGTAGTTTTATGAAGCTGTTCTACCTCCTTATTGTACCATGTTAAGACATAAGGGGCCAATCGTAAAATTTATAGCATTTTCTGATAGGAGGATTACTTTTGCGCATCCTAGTAGATAAAAACCATGTATTTACCTATATATCAGAAGTCAGATTACACTTCTACAATAATCCGTTTATTCTCAAACACAATCCCATTGTGCATTGTCCATGATTTGTGTTTATTGGAATGAGTAGGATTTTTCTCTCCTTGCTATTTGAACACATTGAGAGATACTTACGAAGAGTAAATATTATTCTCCCATTGATGTTATCTCGCCATAACAACATCGAATGAGAAAAGTAAACATAGGCCTACAAATCAAAACAAAGTGTGGGCCGTGAATACATTGAGTCCAAAATGTATTATGTGTTGTTGTGTACTATCTACAGAAGTGTGTTGGGAATATAAATACATATGTATACACATGAAGCTGATATGTATGGCAGTGTGTGGTCCCCTACTGTGAGAGTATCTTTGAGTTGCAGTTCAAGAAAAAACGACAACAAAGCCGAAGAAGAGTGACAGATACCTTGTATTTAGCAATCCCACGAATCGAATCAGTTTGATCAGAGACTACAAAGAGAGTGGAGTGTTGTTGAAAGATTGCGTTGTGTTTATTGTTTTTTGTTTTTTTATAAAACATTGAAATTATTTTTTTTGTGCAAAATTTATTGAACTAAAAACAAAAGGCCTGTAAATAAAAAACTGAAAGAAAAAACGGCGCATATAATTAGAATTGGAAATACCTTTGTTAAATTTATTGGTAGGCTAAATTTGATATTCAAAACAAACTGTTGTTGTTTGTTCGAATGTTGTTGTTGTGCAAATATCTTCTAGGCTGAGATATAAAATCTATTATTTTCATAAACAAGTTCTGGAAAATAAACAAAAGACAAAAAATAAAACACTTTTGATAAAAATAATATGGAACACAACAAGTGGGCAGGAGGAGACACAATGTCTTGTTTGTACCAAAACTGTTGTGGTGTTTGAATGCAAATAAATTGAAAAGGCCTTTGTCCATACCCCCAATGTTCCCCAACTCATGCCCCCACGTACGGTTTCAACTATGTGACGCGAGTTATGCTTTATTTGAAAAATTGCCTTTAATTATTACTCAATTTAGTTTTTTTTATACAGATCGAAGTCATTGAAACCGGCTTTCAGAAATTTGCAATATTTCAATTATTTTGTTGTTTTATTTTAATTGGTACCCGATGTGGCTCTAACACAAAAATCATGGCTTTGAATTCACTTTAGACTTTCAATTCCAAGTCAGTGATCTTTTTGAACTCTATTTTGCAAGATAAGGTTGTGGCGGGCGCAACGCCCATACCGTTGTCTAGTATTGGAATCAATTGATTATGGAAACAAAACAAAACAAAAAAAAAAAAAAAAAAAAAAAAAAAAAAACAAATGCTTTAAGTTTATTAAAAAATTCTCAATTTATTGCAAAGATTTTTGAGTTGAATAATTTAAAGTAAATAATTTATTTTTGTTCAAGATTTGAGGAAATGAAAAAAGAACAAAGTGCAAAATGAAAAACAGTAACTGATTAGAGGGAAAGATAAATGACTTCCTAGTCAATTATGTTGACATTGTTATTGGAAATAGATACAAGTAACAAGTTTTTTTGAGTTACTTGGGCAGGTAATTCAAAAAATTTTTGTCGGGTTCCGATAAGCTGATCATGATAGTAAGGGAACATTACATTACATTATCTTAAGGGATTCTTAATTTTAACAATCTCACTGCTTTTCTTTAAAAAAAATCGAACCAATGTATATTTTAGACGGTTTAAGTGGCAACTTCACTGTTTACTCCACTCCTAAATTATAACAATTTCGAAGTAGTTCTTCGTTTAAAAAAGCCATGTTGTTTAAAATATATTTCGAAATTTTCAAATACGGAAACTTACCTATTAGATAAGCGAAAAATTAGAATATTGTTTCGAAATCTAGTGATTGTACAAGCCTCGAGACAAGCCACTAATAAATCATTTCCTAATACTAGGAAAAGAAAACAAAAGCTTTCGTTGTTGCAGACTTTTGGGCGGTACCCATTTAAATTTAATAACTTTTCCAGTAAAAATCATTATCTTTGAGAGAACTGCTTTATCCAGAAAGTACGGGGACGAAAACTATTAAAAATGTCAAAATGGTATAGCAATCCTTCAAAATCAACATTTCAGTTAATCGGAAGCTGATAACTATTCTGGGTCCGCAAATATTTTTTTTGAAAATCGAATGTAGTCTCGGCTGTGTGGCACGTAACGCTGTCCTGTTGAAACCAAATGTTGCCAATATCCTCCTCTTCAATTTTAGTGAACAAAAATTGTTCAACAATCCGCGATAACGAAATGGCCACTCCTTTCTCATTTTTAAAGAATAAAAATCCGCACCATCGTGGTTTTCTGAGCCCCATATGCGACAACTTTGGGTTTTTACATACGGAGTTGACAGTGCTTCCATTCTTCCAAACCAACAATTCCGTTGAATAATGTCGCAAGAATCATGAAAATACCGAATATTCGGGTTGTACCGTTATATGGGCGCCATACTAAAACGTGGACATATCTAGGCAATTTTCTAAGAGGTAAAGTACTTAGAAGGAACCCCTTGTGTGGATTTTAAGACAATTCCATTGAAAACTTGGCTTAAATCATGAAAATACCGAATGTCGGGGGGTACCGTTGTATAGGGGCTACACGATATTGTGAACCTATATAGACAATAATCTTCCAGGGTGTAAAGTACTCAGAAAGAACTTCTTGTGTGGATTTTCAGACAAATCCTATACGATATATCGTGGACCGATATAGTTCATCTTCGAACTTGACCTGCCTGCAGACAAAAGACTGATCTGTGCAAAATTTTAGTTTCCAATCTTTATTTGTTTTGACTCTAGCGTGATTACAACAGATGGACAGGGCTAAACAGTCTTAGAATTTTACTCTGATTAAGAATATACTTTGTTATGTTTAATAATTTTATTTCCATAAGATACAAACGAAATGACGAATCTTATATACCCTCCACATATGGAGGGTATAAAAATGTGAATGTTTCAATTAGTTGAAATTAAAAAAGTATCAGTTTATACAACGTTTTTATTTGGTGGATTATGAGATATGGACCTGGTGAATTTGGGTATTTGGGACGTACAAAATATTTTACCATAGTGGGGAAGTTGAATATTTGTACACGCTACGTCGAAATTTAGGTAACTCCGTTACCTTGTCAAATTTATCTTCATTGAAAACTGGGTCCCATCTCTGATTTCTGTATATATAAAATAAATAAAAATTTTGGTAATAAGGGGTATAATTTTGAATTAACTGCAAACATATGGCTTCATGAGGTTACTTTTTTATTTTAAAATGGTCGAAACCAAATTATAAAAAGTTACAGTTTTTCCTGTGTTTTTACTTAAGTTATTTGGGAGCATTTAGAGTTTTACAATCACTTTTACCGGTTGCGTGTCTAGTGGCCCTCGGAAACATGTGCAATTTTTTTTGGTCTCAAACTATTTGAAAATTCAATAACCCATATCCTCTCCACTGACCTTCCTCCACAGGTACTTTAGAAGCTTCTATCATATTCTATGGAATTTCCATTATAGATAACAATAGTCAAATTTTCAATGTAAACAGTGTATGGAACGCCAAAAACACTGATAACTTTCAATCTCAACGCATACATGTGTATGTAGAAGCGTGTACGTATACACAGATTAATTTCGACAACAAATAATATTTATTTTAGTCATAATCAAATATTTGACGACAATGAATGATTGGAGATTATTTACGTGTTGCAAAAAAAGGGTGTGACATTTGCGCAAAATAATTTGTCCAACAGGTTTTTAAGTAGCTTGGTTATTATCACCGCCATATACAAGGATGTAACGAAAATAGAATGACCCAAATTGTCATTCATAACGGGTTTTAATAAAAACAATTTGCATATTATTATTGTCGATGAAAATAAACATATTGGCACAAATTTGCATTCAGTTTAAACTTAAAAATACAGTTATGGGATGTATTAAAATTTGTTGAAATTGAAACAATGGGAAGTGGTCGATAAACTTTTGATAACCGGTAATTAGTTAACTTAGCAACTGCTTTAATGGTCATCGATGTTTAAAAATAAAATTGTGAAAGTCAGTTAGGGAACAATTAAAAGTGTATTATTTGAGATACCTCAAACAATCATACTTATGATGAGAATTTTTAATATTATCTTTCCAAGGACTAAAAATAGACTTTTGAACAATATTTTTCTAATGACTATCAGAGTTTTGTGGATTTTTTAGATATTTTCATGGTTATCGGACTATCAGAGGCATGATACAATTAAGAATTAACCTTATGAAATCACATGTTTAGATATTTCAAAATTATTATTAAGTTTAACTTAAATTAAATTATTATCCAAATGGTCTTACTGCCATTTTTATTTTAAAGTGGAACAAGTTTAATTCCGGACACTTTTATATAAAAGTTCGGCCCGGCCGAACCTATTGTTTTTCTTACTTGTTTTTTTTTTGCCAAATGTTTCAGAATGTATCGTTTGAGAATATTTCTAGAGATCTATTAACATGCATTGTTTAATATCAGTTTGGATTTTTAAAGATATTTTCCCATGAACTATCCGATCAATAAATGTGGGTTTTTAGATTGATTTTCCAAGAACTATCATATCAATTAACGTAGATTTTCATAAGAATATTTCCCACGGATAATCTACAAACGTGAATTTTTGAGAATACAGGGTGAGATAAAAAAACTGTAACAAAGTCAAACGCCATAATATTTACATTTTTTTTTTTAATTTTATTGAATGGAAACAAAAAATGTCGGAAATAGCATCAAATTTTAGAATAAGTTTAAATTTGTTCGAATTGGTCACCTTCGGCATGAGTTATGGCCTTCAAATGGCCAATTAAACCGTCACAGGCTGCCCGGATGTTGCTCTGCGATATTTTGGTCCATTCCCGGCGAAGCGCTTGCTTCAGGTGATCGACAATTTGGTATTTTTTAGTGCCAACCTTGCTTTTCAAAATACTCCAGACACAATAGTCCAACGGATTTTGGTGGCCATTGAGCGCTGGAAATGAAGCTCATTTTGTAATGAACCTCATTTTGTAACCATTCTTGGGTGGCGCGTGTTGAGTGCGATGGTGATGAGTCCTGTTGGAATGTCCAAGGTCTGCGGCCAAAATGTTTGCGTGCCCAAGGCTTTAATACACCCTCCAGAATATTTTCGCCATAATATTCAGCATTTATTCTGATACCGCGGTCGAGTGATACAAGCGTAGAGCGATCATCGGCTGTTATGGCGGCCCACAACACCATCACCATGGCTGGGGCTTGAGTTTTGGTGGCCAACCGAAGGTGCACATTTCAAGCTGACCTCTTTGGCAAGTAAACATATAATTTTATTTGTTTCAAACTGCTGGACAACGAACGTCTTCTCATCGCAGAAAACCAAGTTCGGCAGTTCACCACTTTCGGCCAAGCGAAGCAACTCTTTAGCTCTTTTGAGTCTATTTTCTTTCTTTTGCGATGTAAGTTCTGGCGCTTTTTGGAATTTCTATGTCTTTACCCCGAGCTCATTTTTCAATATTTGCCGAATAGAATATTGCGATATGTTCGGCCTCTGCGACGTGGGTTTTGATCAAGCCGTTTCTTTGCTTTTCGAACCATTTCTGCTGATGTTGCTGTTTTCTTCCGCCCACTTCCTTGACGTCGGGCTACGCATTCAGTATCACGGTAACGACGATGGTACGAGACACAAAAGATTTATTCACATTTAAATGCTGGCGTGCTCTAACTGTCGCCACTTGTGGTTTTTCAGCCAAATATGAAGAAATCACGCATGAATTCCGCTACGAATAACTTTTTTTCTGGAATATTCTCACCAAAATGCTTTTGTACGCTTGTAAACAATATAATGAGCTGTCACTGGAATAATTTTAACAGCTGTCGGACGAGCGGCTTAGAAGTCTGAAGTTGGTTGCAGTTTTTTTCATCTCAACCTGTGTATTAGCAAGTGCCAGCTATTTCTTAAGCGAAAAGTCCACCTTATTATTTTAGATTCATTCCAACAGTTCGTGTTAGGTTTTTTTAGTACTCAAAATGCTATTGTTCAGAGGGACAACATTTTTTAATAAACATCGTTCGTAACCTTAAAGTTCGAATTTCCAAAAACCCTGTGGTACATTTATCCTGAAAGTGATTCTCTTTGCAATTTTCAGAATTGGAGCTAATTCCGTTGGCCCATTATGAAGTATTCAAATTTAAGTACTTTTCCCACTCTTTTAAAACAAATTTCCAAAAACTCAGCCTTATTACACTCCCACGGACCAAGGCTAGACCTCATGCAAAATTTCAGGTCAGACAGTTATTTCACTTTTCTTTTATAATTATACATTTCAAAGGATTATCAGATCTACAAACATGGATTTTCAAGCATTTTTTCTCAACGACTGTTAGAGTTTTAAAAAGTGGTTTATAATTATTTTCTAAGGATTATTTCATTAATTTCAAAGTACATTTTAATCGTAAGAACCTTGAAGCAATATAAACATCTCAATTAACAAATGTTAGACTGGTTATTTTTGTTTTCTATTCTTCCTCTTCCACATCTTTCGATAATACAAAATAAACATTTTATTGCAACCGGTTTACTGAATCGAGCTTTTCACGTACTTACATACATAGTTTAAAGAATGAATGAAATAACAACCTTGGCCTTGACACAGGTTAATATACTTCCATAATTATTTTACGCATTATATAGGTAATATTCGTACAACAACAACAACAGCGAACTTCAGTTTTTTTTTTTGTTTCGAAACAAAGAACAATTCTTTTGATTAATTTACAATACTGATTGAAATGTGTGTGCTTTTTATTGTATTATTTGTAGTTGTAGTCTTCTTCACACAATCATGGACACATTCCGCTACTTATGGTCTGGACAAACTGCCACAAGAGATACCAACAATACCCACCACACATCTGCAGGTCCAATGACAATGACCTATCATCATGAATCTCGTAATAGTACCACCCTGGGATCATCGAATGGATTGCGGGATGATTTGAATATAAATCAGAAGCCGGATATGAAGCGAAAGGATGCGGACAAATATTTTTACATATTGTAAGTATCATATTGTTTTTATGTTGTTTTTAAGGTACCAACCAACCAACTTTACCAACTTTATCGACGTGTCTATACAGTAGCTTCGTCTAAAATCATCTGCCAATAATATATTATTACTACATATACTATAAATATGCAGATTATGACGTTTAAATGTCGCTTCTTATAAAGTTAATTAGAAAGATTTTGGAGTAATTGGAAAATTCGGTCACAAAGGATTTTATATATAATATCCCTTGCCAAATTTTACTTATTGAAAATAGGTTCCCATCTCTGATTTCTATATACAATGGATTTATGAATTTACATTTTGACAATGAGATGATATCCAAGGTATAATTTCCAAAAATTTTTAAACATATGGTGGCACAAGTTTACTTTCTTAATTTTACTTTGAATCTATTGCCAATTAACGTCGATTACTCACACATATACACACTGTGTATATATTTTGATAAAATTTGGGCACAAAAAGATAAAGATACTGCATTTAAGAGCTTGCTTTATTCTACCATCTATTACTTAACCATGGCTGTAATCAGTAGCTTAACATTACTTGTTCCAACTATTATAGCAAACTTTTAGGCTATATCAACATTTTAAAGTGAAAGTAATCACTTTGAAGAATTGTGTAAATTAATATTTTAATAGTATACGTACCGAATAAACAAAGATTCTGAAACGAATCGTCTTCTTTAAATGCAAGAGTCAAGTTCAACAGGTCGATTAAAATGTCGTAAGAAAACTCTCCTAGTCATTATAAGGATTTTATATATTCTGCAGAGTTTCTCTAAGCTTAACAAGTAAAAAACATTAAGTTCGGCCGGGCCGGGTAAAGAGAACATTTTTATATGGAAGTTTTCGAATTCAAACGTGTTCTGCTTTAAATTACAAATACCACTAAGTCCCTTAATATTATTGCTATTAAACTTTTCAAAAAAACCGTAAAATGGGTGAAGCCGATGTATGGGGCCATAACAAGACGGGAATCTCTATATTGAATTTTATATTTCAAAATTTGTTATCTACCGTCGGAACTAGAACCCATTATGAACTACGAATACCAATTTTTAGACAAATCCGTGAAAAAATGTGGCAAAAATCATCAAAATACTGAATGTCCGACGGTTCCGTTACATGGGGGCTATACCAAAACGTGGACCTATACATACTATGTTCCGCCACAGGAGCTAGAACCCATTATTAACTAAAAATACCGATTTTTGACAAATCCGTGGAAAAATGTTGCAAAAATCATCAAATCATCGGAAGGTACCATTATATGGGGCTATATAAAGCGTAGACCTATACATACTATGTTCAGCCACAGGCGCTAGAATCGATTATGACCTACAATTATCAATTTTTGTGGAAATCCGAATATCGGGATGTACCATTATATTGGGGCTATACAAAAACGTGGACCTATATATCATGTTTCTCCACATTAGCTCGAACCCATTTCAAACTACAAATACCAATTTCAACAAATCCGTGAAAAAAATATGGCGAAAATCGTCAAAATATCGAATATCCGGATGTACCGTTATATGGGGGCTATACCGAAAAGTAGACCTATATATCATGTTCTCCACCGTAGCTAGAACCCATTTCGAACTACAAATATCAATTTTTGGAGAAATCCGTGGAAAAATGTCGCAGAAATCGTCAAAATACCGAATATTGGAAAGAATCGTTATATGGCGGCTATTCCAAAACGTCGACCGATATATCTCATTTTCAATATCAACCATCCTAGACACAATACAAATTGTTCCGCCACATTTTTAAGCTCTACGTTTAATAATATGGCCTGTATCGTGATTTCAATAGACATGCAGGCGGTCAGACAGATGGACATCGTTAAATCGACACAGAATTTTATGCTGATTATGGATATATATACTTTATGGGGTCTCCGACGAATATATAAAGGTATGTTACAAACGGAATGACAAAGTTAATAAACCCCCTTTCAAGGTGGTAAGCTATAACAAGTAAAAAAGCAGTAAGTTCGACGGGCCGAACTTTGAATACCCTCCACCATTTGGAACGAATTAGAAAATTTTCAAAAAAAAAAAAAAATGAAATCCATTAAAAATTCTTTTAAAATCTCTAAAATATCTAATATAAGAAGGTGCCGATATGTGGGGACATACGATATTGTGGACCTTTAAAGACAAATCTATGTCTGCGTGTAAAGTACTCACAAGGAACTCCGAAATACCGAATATCGCGAGGTATCATTATATGGGAGCCATACGTTATCGTTAACCTATATAGAGAATTCTCTGTCGGGGGGTAAAGTGCTCACAAAGAACCCCTTGTGACCATTCCGTTGAAAAATATGGGTAAAAACATCAAAATACCGAATATCGGGGGTACCGTTATATGAGGGCTATACGATATCGTGGACCTTTACAGATAATTCTCTGCCGAGGTATAAAGTAACCACAACGAACTCCTTGTGTGGATTTTCAGACAATTCCGATGAAAAATGTGGGTAAAATTATCAAAATACCGAATATCGGGGGTACCGTTATATGGGGGATATACGATATCGTGGACCTGTATAGGCAATTCTCTCTCAGGGGGTAAAGTACTCACAAGGAACTACTTGTGTGGATTTTAAGACAATTTCATTGAAAAATGTGGCTAACATCATCAAAATACCGAATATCGGGGGGTACAGTTATATGGGGGATATACGATGTCGTGGACCTATATAGACAATTATTTTTGAAGGGGTAAAATGTCCACAAGGGACTCCTTTTGTGGAATTTCAGACAATTCCATTGAAAAATGTGGCTAAAATCATCAAAATACCGAATACCGTGGGGGTACCGTTATATGGGGGCTATACGATATTGTGGACCTATATAGATAATTCTCTGGCGAGGTATAAAGTACCCACAAGGAACTACTTGTGTGGATTTTCAAACAATTCCATTGAAAAATGTGGCTAAAATCATCAAATTACCAAATATCGGGGGTACCGTTTTATGGGGGCTATACGATATCGTGGACCGATATAGCTCATCTTCGAACTTGACCTGCCTGCAGACAAAAGAGAGATCTGTGCAAAATTTTAGCTTCCCATCTTAATTCGTTTAGACTGTAGCGTGATTACAACAGACGGATGGACAGGGGTAAATCGTCTTAGAATTTTACGCTGATCAAGAATATATATACTTTGTTGGGTCTAAAATGATTATTTCGATGAGTTACAAACGGAATGACGAACTTAATGTACCCTCCATACCTTTATTGGTGGAGGGTATAAAAATAAACTATAGCTTAAAAGTCGATTATTTACTGCATTTTTATATGTGCCCGAAAGTATGCCTTTAGTTTATGTTTAACATGCAAAACCCCTGATACTAAATATTAAGTATAGATGGCGTGCGTTCCAATATAACTGTAATTAAAGGGTAGATTGCTCTTAAAGTTAAGTAATGTATAAAGTGAGTGATACAATGAGTCGGATAAAATTGTATTATGTAGGACAAAAACTTCCCTTGCCATTTTTTATGGTCCCCATTTACCAGATGTATTCTAACAATGCGTCTGTTTAACTGTATCTCAATCACTTTGCTCCCATTCGACTCTGGGCATTCCATGCTAACAATTCACACTTTCAGTTTCATATGAAACGCGGTGGTAGTTAGATGTGAACTCCAAGCAACAGCTAGCGGAAGTAACTATAAAATATATTAAAGTGTTATTATTATAGATCGTAGAACGAGAGAAGAAGTGTGTAAAACAAATCAACATTTCACTTTTCCCAATAACAACAACAACATAGTGTTAATGTTTTCCCCTTAGAAACCAAAACGTGATTTTAAAAACATTGGCGCATTGTGTTCTGGTAGCAATGAAATAATGGTGTGTATGTAAGGCCCAATGATGTGATAATAGTAACAACAAAACAACTGTCCGTTCACCTGAAGGTTACGCTGTTACCTACATACCCATATAGATACATGCTGGTGTATGTAAGTTTCTCCTCCATGGTTTAGAACGCTACAAAATACCGGTTTCCATTTTAAAAACAAATCAACTGCTACTAAATGAATATTAATGTTTTGTGTGCCAAAGGAAGAGAGGGTAGGCAAAAGGAAATGAGTTAATTACAATACCGTCAAAATATGACCAACCCGTTTGACCGTCATGCTTTTGCCCACATCGATTTAATGCCTATTGGCCGTAGTGGTCGCTTGTATCCGTGTGAGTTCTAAAAACGTTATTATTATTTTTTGTTTTGATTAAAACTTAAGTATTCTCATTTTTTAAGCCAAAGTGTTTATCAGATCTTCGTTTTAATGGATTTATACATGGTATAGATCGTAGGCACAGTGGTTCGAATGAGTATGAGTAAGACTCTTATCAATAGAAACAATTCATATATACTGAAGGCGGAAAATCCTCTAAATGAAAAAAACGAAGATATTGAGAAAACGATTTTCTATAGGAACAAATTGAGGAATGCTGTTTTTCTGTTGAAAAAATATCCCAGAACCTAATGAATGTTTTTTTTTTTTTCACAAAAACAAATCTTCAGTAGGAACGCTTTTTTCTATTTGAGTCAAATTTGTCACCAGCTAAGGAAAGCTTTTTATACCCTACACCAAGGGTATTGTTATAAGGATATTATGTCTTTGTGCATTTTTTGTAACAAGAAGCGAGATAGACCCATAGTTACTTTTGAGGCTCTTTTTATGCATGCCAGTCAGTCCGTCTGTCCATGTATTTTTGTGAACAAAATGCAGGTCGCATTTATTATTCGATTGAGATAAAGTTTTCCAAACAATGTTTGTTTGGCCCAAGGACAAATCCTATTGAAAGGACAAAAACTATATATACCTTATACCTATAAAAGAGGAAAATGGTTGTACGTTTGTTTGTATGTTTGTTTTTTTGTAATTTATGGACTCGAAAGCCGCTGAACAGATTTTCCTGAAAATTTCCAAGTATACTACAACATCGCCTGAAAGTAACATAGGCTATATATATTTTTGAAATTCCACTCGGCACTGTATATATAGTATCAGAATCGGAGGTACCTCCCAAAAATTTGGATTTTATATGCACATATCTATTGATCGATTACAGATAAATTCTCCAAATTTGGAATAAATGACGGGATTTGATTAAACTATATATTCGCCATTTTACATGGAAATCGGTTCAGATTAGGATATAGCTCCCATATATATTTTCGGCCGATTTCATGTATTTGATGCATTAAACACGCTGTGTATATTCGATTTCAATGAAATTTTAAATGTGTGACTAAATTTGGTACAAATATAAATTTGCCAAATTATATTGAAATCGGTTGAGGTTTGGGTACATATCCCATATATATTTTTCGGCCGATCTCATGAATGTTATGTACCAAACACCATATGTATCTCCTATTCCAATGAAATTCAGAATGTGTGGCGGAATTTGGATACAATAATAAATTTGACAAACTAATTAGATATCGGTTAAAATTTGGATATAGCTCCCATATATATTTTCAGCCGATGTCACATATTTGCATAAAATATACAATATAATACAAGGTATGTACCTTCAATTTCAATCAAATATGGAAGATATGACGGAATTTGGTGTAAATGTAATTTTTTTCAAATTATATTGAAATCGTTTCAGATTGGAATCTTATTTTATTAAGAAGACCCACAGCGCCTTTGTAATGGTATAAGGTTAACGAAGGTATTCTAAGTTCGTCCAGGCCAAACTTACAGCTATTTTACTTGTTTCTATTGAATGATTTTTGCCAATACAAAAAACGCTTTTTTCTATAGGAAAAAGTCCTCTGGGGATGAGAAATGTTTTTTAGTAGGAAAAATGTCATCAGCAGAGAAGAAACATTTTATTCTATAGGAAAAAAGTCTTGAGCAGCTCAGGCACACTTTGTTCTATAAGAAAAAAAAGTCTCAGAAGAAACTTGATAAGAACTCCCAATCTCCAATTAACCACTGTACAAATTGCATTTATGTTTCACATACATTACATACATATAATACAACAATACAAATATGTTCAAACTAATTGCATGAGGGCGAGATTGGGGGTAATCGGCTCTGAGAATTTCAGTACTAACATACATATAAACATCGTACATACTATATATGCAGATACGTGTGAATGATTAAGTCCATTGATACCCAGCCAAAAATGGTGAAAACATGGCAAAAATGGTGTTGGTATTTACGTATTACCAACGAACAACAACAATGATAGGACAACAATAACAACAGCAACAGCAATAAGAACAGCGTACAAGCGTATAAACGAAGTCGTTGTTTGTTTTGTTTTTTTTTGTTGTTCGCTTGGCCAAACGTCATTTAGTACCAAATCGAATAGAATAACCAAAAGACGTTGTTATCTCTGAAAAAAACCTCAACAAAAACAGAACTGAACGAAAACAAAAACCATCGAGCTGGATATCGAAGCATAAAATGTGGGTATGTAATTATTTAATAAAAAAAAAATAATTAATTTTTATGGATAAATTATAATGGAAAACAACAATAAATTAGACTGGATACCTTGGCATTTTTATACTCTCAGCAATATGGCTAGAGAGGGTATATATAATTTGATACGGCCAAAATCTGCCTAGTCGAAATAACGGTTTTAGACCCTTGGTCTCTTTGGACCAAATCCGTTTCAGGATATTTGGAGTCGATCCAGCGGTGTAAGTCTGTCTATCTGCCTACTAGCTGGTGCGCACGATAACTCTCGAATGGAGTATCAGATTTGGTCCAAACTTGGTACATCGTAATGTTTTTGGAAAACTTAGATCGAGTTCGGAGATGGGAAATATTGGTCCACTCCTCCAAACAAGTAAAAAAGCAGTAAGTTCGGCCGGGCCGAACTTTGAATACCCTCCACCATTTGGAACAAATTAGAAAATTTTCAAAAAAAAAAAAAAAAAAATAAATAAATAAATAAATAAATAAAATCCATTAAAAATTCTTTTAAAATCTTTAAAATATCTAATATAGGAAGGTGCTGATACGATATTGTGGACCTATAAAAACAATCTGGGTGTAAAGTACTCACAAGAATCTCTTTGTGTGGATTTTCAAAATACCGAATATCGCGGGGTATCGTTATATGGGAGCTATACGTTATCGTTAACCTATATAGAGAATTCTCTGTCCGTTGAAAAATATGACTAAAAACATCAAAATACCGAATATCGGGGGTACCGTTATATGAGGACTTTACGATATCGTGGACCCATATAGATAATTCTCTGCCGAGGTATAAAGTGCCCACAAGGAACTCTGTGTGGATTTTCAGACAATTCCGATGAAAAATGTGGGTAAAATCATAAAAATAGCGAATATCGGGGGGTACCGTTATATGGGGGATATACGATATCGTGGACCTGTATAGACAATTCTCTCTCAGGGGGTGAAGTACTCACAAGGAACTACTTGTGGGGATTTTAAGATAATTCCATTGAAAAGTGTGGCTAACATCATCAAAATACCGAATATCGGGGGGTACAGTTATATGGGGGCTATACGATATCGTGGACCGATATAGACAATTCTTTTTGAGGGGGTAAAATGCCCACAAGGGACTCCTTTTGTGGAATTTCAGACAATTCCATTGAAAAATGTGGATAAAATCATCAAAATACCAAATACCGGGGGGTACCGTTATATGGGGGCTTTACGATATTGTGGACCTATTTAAATAACTCTCTGCCGAGGTATAAAGTACCCACAAGGAACTACTTGTGTGGATTTTCAGACAATTCCATTGAAATATGTGGCTAAAATCATCAAAATACCGAATATCGGGGGTACCGTTATATGGGGGCTATACGATATCGTGGACCGATATAGCCCATCTTCGAACTTGACCTGCCTGCAGACAAAAGAGAGATCTGTGCAAAATGTTAGCTTCCTATCTTAATTCGTTTAGACGGTAGCGTGATTACAACAGACGGACGGACAGGGCTAAATCGTCTTAGAATTTTACGCTGATCAAGAATATATATACTTTGTTGGGTCTAAAATGATTATTTCGATGAGTTACAAACGGAATGACGAATTTAATATACCCTCCATACTTTTTTTTGGTGGAGGGTATAAAAAGACTGTTAAATATACAACAGTTTGTTTATTTTTATTTTTTGTTTACAAAATTCTTATATTAGGAACAAACCCCGAAACAAGAATGGAATTTCGGGGTTATTCCACAAGATTGAATCTAAAATGGTAGGACAATACAGTCTTATCTCAATACAGTCTTATCTCAAATTTGTTGCCCATAATTTAAATTATTTTAAATTATTCATTACGAGCTTAAAATACGAAATTTGAAACAATTTTGATTAATAACGTCGCTAAAATCATAAAAATACCGAATATTGAGAGGTGTCATTACATGGGTGCTTTACGAAAATCTGGACCGGCATGGCCCATTTACGAACGGACACATTTGGGGAAATTTTTAGCCTTTTATCTCAATTCGTTCAAAAGATAGCGTGATTACAACCGACGAACATCGCTAAATCGACTTGGTATTTTACGCTGATCAAAAATGTATATACTTTGTTGGGACGGATATGAGTATTTTGAGGAGTTATAAACGGAATGACATTGTATGGTGGAGGGTATAAAAATGAGCCAAATGAGAAAAAAAACCTTTTTTATATTTTTTCTCCAAAAAAGCTGAACTAAAAATAAATTCCTGGGTAGTAAAAAATGTTGCAAATGATTGCATTAAGAAATATGTTTGGCAAGAATTTGCAGCTCTGTGTTGTATTTTCCGAAATAATAAAAATGCCAGAACCTGGAAGAATCTACAAGTTTTGCAATTTTTTATAGTTTCATGATAGTAATTCTGACATTACAATCCATAGAGCAACTTTCTCTAACTCAGTCTACCGTGACTTCATTGTACCGTGTCTCCTACTTTGTGAGAACTCAAAATTTAGTCTAATTACCCTTTAGAACCCTAAAATTTTAAAATCCTGTTATATGAGCTGAGAAGTTAAAACAAAGCCCGAAATATCGAATTTCAGCTGATTGAGTTGGAAACTGAGGTAGAAACCTTCAAAATACGGAAAATCAGGATTTGCCATTATAAAGGGGAGGCACCAACGTTCGGACCTGCATTGTATATTTTTTGCTAGCAATGAATCGAACCAGTGGGAACCCAAAGCTCAAATCACAACTGATTTGTTTGGCCGAAACCTCTTAAATACCGAATATGACGGGGTACCGTCACATGGAGGATCGATATTTTCCGTTCAGTATCAATCCTCTGTCTTTAAAAGGGCCTACAGACAGATGGATATGGCTAAAGTGACACAGAATTTTACGCTTTCAAGAAATTGTGGAAAGCGCCTAAAAGTATGCAACATGCTAAATTTAAATGTGAAAAAGTAACTTTACAAGCGACTAACATGATGCATACTTTTGTCTTTATCTACAGCGTACAGGAGGGTATATTAACTTTGTATTCGGTTTGTAGCATCCCTAAAAAATCGTCGTAGACCGCATAAAGTATATATATATATATCCATGATTAGCATAAAATTCTAAGTCGATTTGACGATGCCCGTCTGTCTGTTGAAAACACGATACAGCCCACATTATTTGACGTAAAGCTTTGTATTTATTGTGTCTAGGATGGTTGGTGTTGAAAATGAGATATATCGGTCCACGTTTTGGAATAGCCGTTGTTACCCTTTATTTTAAGGGTATTATATTTTTTTTAATTATAAAATTAATTTATTTATAATTTCTAAATATTATTTTTTATGGACGGCGAGAAGAAAGACGCGTATCGTTGGCGGTATAATTCACAACAATGACTTTATTATTATTCTTTCTCATTATCCTATTCTTCTACATCTAACTTAATTGTAAATTTACATACTATTTAACTACTAATTTTTACAACTAAGGAATTCATATTATTAATTAATTTAAATTCAAAAATAAATAGAATAAAAAACCATAAAAAAAAAACAAATAAATTGAAATAAAAATTACAATTAACAAAATTCAATTTGAATCAATAAAACTGCTCCAACATTCTGCCCCCATTGAATGGCTGCAGGACTTCAACAAATCGGTATTGGAGCGAGCTTCCTTATTGGCCTCTTAAATGTGCCCGTCCTTGTTTTTACTTCCGCCACCCTGACCTTTCCGTCTTGGCCCTCGGTGACGTTGACGATTCGGCCGGTTACCCACTCTTGAGGTGGCAGATTGTCCTCGTGCACGAGGACTAGTTGACCGACCTCTATGTTGGGCTGGGGATTGTGCCACTTGGCCTTGTCCTGTAGTCCTAGGACGTAATCCCTCGACCAAGCCCGCCAGAACCTCTGCTTGAGAGCGGAGAGCATCTGCCAGCGCTTGCAGTACCTCTCCTTGTTGTCGCTGTCTTCTCCGACGGATTCTGGCGGCAGCGAACGCAGACCCGCTCCGATTAGTAGGTGCCCTGGAGTCAGAGCTTCTCCGTCGTTGGGGTCTGGAGACAGCGGTGCTATGGGGCGACTGTTTAGCACCGCCTCTACTTCTACGAGCACTGTGACCATCTCTTCTTGTGTCAGCAGCACTTTGCCGACAGCTCGTAGAAGCAGGAACTTCGCCTGTTTTACGGCAGCTTCCCACAGCCCTCCGAAATGAGGCGCCCTCGGAGGAATGAAGCTGAACTGCACGTTCAACGAGGCAGCGTATTCCTCCACGGTTTCTCGGCCTGCTAGGAACTTCTCCTGAAGCTCCCTCAGCTCTCTGCTGGCTCCCACGAAATTCGTCGCGTTGTCGCAGTATATCCTCTTGGGGAGCCCACGCCTCGCGGCAAACCTTTTAAAAGAAAGAATAAAAGCATCAGAAGATAAATCAGATACTAATTCTAAGTGAACCGCTTTGGACGTGAAGCAAACGAAGACGGCTATATACATTTTGGTAGGTGGTCTTCCGCGAATTTTTAAAGTTATATTTACGGGACCACAGAAGTCTACGCCTATTATTAAAAATGGACGTAAAGCTCTCACTCTATCAGTGGGAATATTGCCCATTATTTGGGTCATCAGCTTTGGCTTGTAGCGAAAACAATGGATACAATTTCGAACTATTCGATTACATTCTTCTCTGGCATTGATAAGCCAAATTTGCTCTCGAGACAATGCAACTAAGGCTTTCGTACCAGCATGGCAATTATTAAAATGTAAATTATTCAAATATATTGACACAAAATGATGTTTTTTAGGAAGTAAAAGTGGAAACTTTGTATCATGGGGCAATTGTGCATTTAACAGTCTTCCACCTACTCTAAGCAGAGAAAATGTCCGCTTACATTCAGTAAAATCGTGGATAAATGGTGTCAACTTCTGGATATTGGATTTTAAGCATATTGACTTTTTTATTTGAGAAATCTCTTCTGAGAAACTCTCTTTTTGAACTGCCTCTACTAATTTAAGAAAAGACCAATTCAATTCTTGAGCTGTAAGACAGATAGATTTGGATATCTTTCGTTTCTTAACTCGATCGACAAATCGGAAAACATATGAAACCACTCTGAGAAGTTTTTTATATGAAGAATGGTCATTTATTAATTTCAAAAGAGTGTTCTCAGAACATTCCTTATCTTTCTTACTATTTGAGGTCAGTAATACTTTGGATTTTCTTGTTTCCAATAATTTTTCCTCCTCAGTCAACTCGAAATGCTTGTTGACTGGCCATTTAGAGATATCGTCTAACAAAAATTTGGGTCCTTCAAACCATATGGATGATTTAATTTCATCTACACTGCATCCTCTCGACACAATGTCGGCTGGATTCTGTTTAGTTGGCACATGACGCCAAATACATTTTTCTGACCATTCTTGAATTTCTGCGACTCGATTTGAGACAAATGTGGCCAGAGAAGAAGGATGGGTTTTTAACCAGTATAGTGTAATTTCAGAATCAGACCAAAAGTATATTTTTTCAACATCAAAGTTCATCATTGGTTTAATTCGTAACCACATATTTGCCATGAGATGTGCTGCTGAGAGCTCCAACCTCGGAAGAGATATAGTTTTGAGGGGAGCTACTTTAGATTTAGCTGTTAGCAGCCTGCAAGATACTCCATTAGAGTCCTGCGAACGAATATAGAAACAACATCCATAGGCACGCATCGATGCATCTGAGAACCCATGAATTTGAATTCTAGATGAAATATTGGTGTTAACGAATCTTGGGATTTGAATCGTATCCAACTTCGAAAGATTGAATTTGAAATCTTCCCAGACTGAACTCAAACGCATGGGAATCGATTCATCCCAGTCTAATTTATTAATCCAAAGTTCTTGCAATAACATTTTGGCTTTGGTTATTATTGGACACAAAAGGCCGAGGGGATCAAACAAACGTGAAGATATTGACAAAATGTGTCTTTTAGTAGCTTTCAGATCTTGGAAGCCTCCCTCTATGTAAAATTTGAAAACATCATTTCTTGGAGCCCAATGAATTCCCAATGCCCTTGCAGTCTCGGAATCCAAGTGTAACAACTTTTCACCACAAGTTGTCTCATTAAAATCTGGATGATTAGAAAACCATTTTGTGAGATTTAATCCCGCTGAACTGAGAATAGTAGTGACTTCATCTCGAATTGTGAGAAGACTATTCAAATCAGCAGAACCAGTCAACAAATCATCCACATAGAAGTCGTTGCTTATAACTTTGGCACCAATAGGCCAAGTCTCTTTGGACAAATCGCTCAAATGGTTTAAGCAACGAATTGCTAGAAATGGAGCGGACGAAGTACCATAAGTGACCGTATTCAATCTGAAAATTTGCAGCGGATCACTTTCGTTTTGTCTCCAAAGGATCAAATGAAAATCTCTATCTTTTTCGTCGATTAAAACTTGACGATACATTTTCTCAATATCTGCAGTAATTACGTATTTGTGTAAGCGGAATCGAAGTAACGTTGAGTACAACTCTTCTTGAATAGTTGGACCTACCATCAAGAGATCATTGAGTGAAACATGTGAAGATGTTTTACTCGATGCATCAAACACGACGCGAAGTTTCGTAGTTGTACTTTGAGGTCGGAAAACACATTGATGAGGAATGAAATAATGTGGGTTATTAGGAATTTTATTGTTCGTTCTTTCCATGTGACCTAAGTCAAGATACTCTTTCATGAAAGAATTGTACATTCCTTTAGATGTGTCGTCATGTGAAAGTTTTCTTTCCAATGCCAGAAACCGCCTTTTGGCTGTTTCAAATGACGAACCCAAAAGTTTCACATCTTCTTTAAAAGGTAAAGACACTTGAAAGCGTCCTGACGATAAACGTCGAACATATTTTTGGAAATGTTCCTCACATTTTTGATGTTCCTCAGACCGAATTTTTGCACTATTATTTGGAATTTCTTCTAACTCCCAGAATTTCTTCACAATTGCATCAATCGTTTCTTCATTATCTATGGCAACATTCAAGTGACATACTCCTGAATTTGACCCCTTTGACTCATCGTATTTGCCAGCTACGATCCAGCCAAGAGAAGTTTTTTGCAGAACCGGATAACTTGGATTCGATTTGATTTGGCCTACACAAAGAAGTTCGAAGAAAACTTCAGCACCAAGTAATAAATCCACTTTACGAGGTTCATTGAAATTAGGGTCTGCCAGCTCTATATTTTTAGGAATATTCCAATTAGCAGTGGAAATTCTCTTATCAGGTTGAAGACTTGTTATAGAACTCAATACCCAGAATGTAGATGAGAATTGGGTTGGATTGAGTCTCGACATCACAGACAGTTGAACTTTATTTTTCGAAATGGAAATTCCTTCCGAAATGCCAGTTAAATTTAACCTGCCACTTTCCCGTTTTATTTTAAGCCTTTGTACCAAGTCTTCGGTTATCAAATTAGGTTGAGAACCGGAATCTAAAAGAGCTCTAGCCAGAATATATTTTCCTGAGCTACTACGGACCTTCACTAATGCTGTGGCCAACATTACGCCTTCATTCGACGATGAATAGTTGACCGAAGCGCTAGACGTAGAAGGCTGCTCTTGATCAGAAGCGTATCGATGCAGTAAGAAATGGTGTGATCCACCACATACTCTACACTTCACTCCTGAATTGCATTTGGCAACAGTATGGCCTTTTTTGAGGCAATTGATGCAAGCAGGGACATCTTTAATGAATTCAAATCTTTGCAGAACTGGTATGGCAGTGAAGGAAGTACAATTATTTATATTATGCTGTAAAGATCTACAGAACACGCACTTTTCAGAAGATGGTTTCTGTTTAGAAACTGAAAGTGACGTTTTAAAGTTCCTTTTAGGCTGATTATCAAACTTTGGTTTATTAATTTTGGGTCTTGCACCAGAAGATTCTTCAGCTGATATGTGCTGATATCTTTTATTTAAAGCAGCTTCGCAATCAGACCATAATGGGAGCTTCTCGAAATCAAGCTGTTCTTCCCATTTGGATTTAGTGATTGGATCGACCTTTGACATAACTAAATGAATTAAAATGGCATTCGTAATCTTTTTATCATCACCAATCGACAACAGCGAATCATAAATAGCAGAAACTGTGTCGATCATGCTACGCAAAGCAGAAGCTGAAGGTTTAGGGATCTCAGGAAGATCAAAAAGTTTAGCAATATTATCGAAAAATATTAAACAATCATTATCATAAACCTTTTTCAGACTAGCTAATGCCTTGGGATAATTTTCTTCAGAAATCTGAAATGCTCTTACAGTACCGAGGGCTTCATCGGACAAGCATGAAATTAAATGATTGAATTTTTCTATGTCTGTCAATGTCGGATCTGTGTGAACTAGATTTTCAAAAAGACTCATAAAATTTTTGTATTCGGAATATTTTCCGCTAAATTTAGGCAATTTCATGTTTGGCAATCTAGATTGATGTGATTGGCCACAAAAAGAAGTTTCAGGCATACTACTTCTCCTATTTTTAGATAAAATTCCTAAAAATAGGGACTTTGCCGTAACGCATAAGTCTTCTAGTTCACCTCGATCATTATTATCGGGATCTAGAATATCAAGTTCGGATTGCAATCTCATTGCATCATCAATATATTTATTAAGAATGTCTAAGCGACATTCTAGTTCAATTGTATTGAACGAAATTCTCTTTTCTCTGAAAGAAGTCTTAATTCTTTCAATATTTTCAATTACCTTTTCTTTCTGTTGTTTTATGTTGACAACTTCCGTATCGGGAGTGCTTTGGTGCTTCTTACCACCAGCCATTATATAGAATTTAAATTAAATTTGTAAATTCAAACAAAAAAGTATCTACACACTTATTATTAGTGAAAGGTAATGAACTAGTTTATTAAAAATAAACTCTCGCTTTTATCAAAATTTATACAATGTCAGCTTTATTGACAATTTAATTATTATTTTAATTAAATTGTTTGGTTTACAAATGTAAACAATCAAATTTCAATGTTTTAGAAATTTTACAAAAAATTACGTCGTCTATAGCACCCTTAATTGCTGTGTTTCGAAAACTATCGATAACACTGTTTACCAAATGGAGTAACCGAATACAAGTAGTCAATTACTCACGAAGTGTTTGGCACTAGTAGAAACTAATCAAAACAAAGAAAATGAAGTGAAACATTATCTTGGACAACGCCATCGCAGACGGTTGCTTTCGCAAGAGTAAAGAAGTGTGAATTTAAGTGCAAATATAATAAAAGTGACGCCATCGATTTTTTAAAAAAACGCATTCAATAAAAAGAATTCGAAATTCATATATTCATATGAAAAACATTAATAAACTTAATTTAAAGCTTACGCTTTAAAAGAAAAACTTGTGAATTTTAATAAAGTGAC